CTCAATTTTAAATACACGTAGACATTGAGGGCTAGCAGGAGGGACCATGCGCTTACCTGCTGCTCTCTGGCAGGTAGCTCCATGCCCTCCTGGGTTTTAATTGCACCTTAGAACACACATGCATCAACACTACAATGAGCGGGTGGAGGGAGGTTTGGAGTCTTCTCTCACCCCCGTTCTCTGCGACCTGCTGGAGCAGGGGGGCTAGGAGGAGGAGTTGGCCGTCCGACTGCGGTCTGGAGTGTGGAGCCTTCCTGCTGCTGCGGAGTCGGGGCGGTCTGCCTTCCCCCACCGCAGGGAAAAGGGAAACACCACCTGGGTCTGGGTGCAGTTCCCCCCTCCAGGGGCGGGGGCACCTAGACCCGGTTTGTAGAGTACGCTTGGGGAGTGTGATCGTGTGTACAACGTCTCTTTATGTCTGTCTCCACGTTGGTTGAGTGTGGAGTAAGTGCATATGAGAGCATGAGGGTGGGAATGGATGTTTGTATCTGTGTGTGCCTGTATGTCTGTGTCTATATGTCAGGTTGGGTGTCAGGCGCCACCTCTCTGGGGACATCTCAGGCCCTCCAAGGTTTGGAGGCCTATCTCCCCCTACCACCACTTCCCCTGCCAGTGGTGGACCCCCTCAGACATCGGTGCGTTGGTGGTTCTTTGTGTCCGGGGATGGGCGTCCAGGTACACACCGGCTCACTCCTTGGCGGCCGCTTATAGGGGCCTGGAGCCTGGGGCTCGCTCGGGCCACTTCGGAGGTGGGGTGCCCCCGGCCTCTCGGCCTGGGGCTCGGTCACTCAGGCGCAGCTGGCTGCCGGCGGAGCTCACGGGCGCGTCACTGCAACTCCCCCTGGCTTCTGCTCCGCGGCTGCTGAGTGAGCCCTCATCTGGGACTCTCCTCAGCTCTTTCCGGGACAGTGGCGCGGCTGCCCCTCTGTTGGTCTTCCTTGGTCTCTTGTGTTCTGGTGGCCTCTGGATGTCTGGAGTTTTGATCTCCTCCACACCTGCTTCAAGCCCTGGAGGACGGGGCTGTGCCCCCCACACCCTCTAGCAGATTATTACATGAAGGAACCTTTTAAAAAAACAAAAAACAAGCGCGTCCATGCTCACAGGTGTACACACGGGTGATCACACCCACAAACTACACCCTTTTTGGCTCCTACCTCAAAGCACACTGTGTTCTGTTGATCTTATGTGCTGCACAATAATGTTTAACATTTAGTATTTACTGTCATATTCCCATATATCATTGTGATGTTGTTTATTCTATTACTCTTGTTCTCTTCTGCTTGCTTTCTTTTTTCTTTCTCAGCAGGTGATCCAGGTGATTGATATATGCATTTTTTTTTCTCTGCCCGTTCTGTTGGTTTTTGTCTTTTGCCCTTCTCCCCCGTCCCTCTTCTCAGCTGTTTCTCTTTCCCTCTTTCTTTCTCCCCTTCTTTCCCCCAGTCAAGTCTGTCCCGTATTCAGTAAGTGAAAATAAAATAAACAATAAAAGGTGAATCAAATGGACCATTACGGCAAGGCTGGGATGGTCAGTTTGGTAAAGTAAATCCGTTGGGCATCTTTCTTTGCCTTTAGACAACAATTCTGAGGGCAAAAGAGCCAAACGGGACAGGCCAAAAAAAAAAAAAAAAAAATAGTATTAATTATCTGGTTTGCACTTACTGTACCAGCTGATTTAGTTATTTAAATGTATTCATATTATTCAGAGGAGCAATTCCACCCTCATAAGCTTGTTAATTTAAATGATTAAATAAGGTGATCTGGTAAGAAAACGTAAAGTTCCAGAAGGAAATACAATGAATATTCATTGATGAGCAACATGTTTGAAGGCGAAACCTTTCGTTTAGAGTCCACTTACCTGTAGCTGGAGCATATTTGCTCCAGGAAACTGAGATAATCACTTGAATACTTGAATGACTCAGCCTTTGAGTCTGAGACAGTCGGAGCCACAACCTATACCATCACATACTGCCTGTGATGTATAATAAAGCATCTACTTGCATGAGTTCTGCAAGATTGTGTATATATATGGAAATGGGTGGAAACACATTCTCACCTTTGGCAGGACACTTCCACAGAAAATGTCCTATTTTCACATCCCAGACTGAAAATAAGAGGCAGTAACGTTTTAAGTGAGACTTCTCCTGCAATGACTGCATTGCAGGAGAAGTCTCACTGCTTTTTCCTTTAAACATTAATTCAGTGTGTGACTCTTCCCTGTGAGAAGGTTTCCCCACTGAATGTGAGAGCAGACTTCTAGTGTCAAACTATTCTCCACACAGTGGAGGTAAACAAATCATATATGTGGCACACTTAGGAGTTGTTTGGTCCCCGAGTGAATGCACAGGCTGGACTGTAGCAGGACTGAGTATGAAAGTCTAATGTGATTGGTACTCATGGCCATTGATCAGTGGGCTTTGATCAATGGCCAGGAGAATTTGCATATTAATGATGAAAGAACTGACCTCCCAGCCCATTGTTCATTCAGTGGTGCTGGTTTCAGTCATTATGCAAATGTCCTGTTTATAAGATTGAAACCTGCAGTCAGCTGAGACTGAGGAAGTCACCTGGATGAGGGACGAAACGTCTCTCCCACAGAAAACGTCCAGATCAACAGAATCAACTTTTGGAGATTTAATTTGCACAAATTACCAGGGTTATTATGTGTTGTATTAATTTTAAAGATTTGTTTTTAAGGAAACTATTTTTTACAGTTTTAGGACTGGGTTTGCACACTTTGATATCGATTTTCCACAGTTTAAAAATGTTTTAATACTTAGACTTAAACTGGGTGTCTAGAATACAATAATACGAGTTATTTTGTTTGTTTTTTTTTGTCTTTTTTTGAGATGTGGTTAATCTATTTCCCCCCACACTTTCGTTAACTTGAAAAACCTTGTAAGGTAAACTTTTTGCATTTAAATAGCCCTGTAATAAAAAGTTTGTGGCCACATTTCAGTCCCACTACTTTAATCTACAGTGGGGCAAAAAAGTATTTAGTCAGCCACCGATTTTGCAAGTTCCCCCACCTAAAATGATGACAGAGGTCAGTAATTTGCACCAGAGGTACACTTCAACTGTGACAGACAGAATGTGAAAAAAAAATCCATGAATTCACATGGTAGGATTTGTAAAGAATTTATTCGTAAATTAGGGTGGAAAATAAGTATTTGGTCACCTCAAACAAGGAAAATCTCTGGCTCTCACAGACCTGTAACGTCTTCTGTAAGAAGCTTTTCTGTCCCCCACTCGTTACCTGTATGAATGGCACCTGTTTGAACTCATCTGTATAAAAGACACCTGTCCACAGCCTCAAACAGTCAGACTCCAAACTCCGCCATGGCCAAGACCAAAGAGCTTTCGAAGGACACCAGGAAAAGTATTGTAGACCTGCACCAGACTGGGAAGAGTGAATCTACAATAGGCAAGCAGCTTGGTGTGAAAAAATCAACTGTGGGAGCAATCATCAGAAAATGGAAGACATACAAGACCACTGATAATCTCCCTCGATCTGGGGCTCCACGCAAGATCTCATCCCGTGGGGTCAAAATGATCATGAGAACGGTGAGCACACGGGGGGACCTGGTGAATGACCTGCAGAGAGCTGGGACCAAAGTAACAAAGGTCACCATCAGTAACACACTACAACGGCAGGGAATCAAATCCCGCAGTGCCAGACGTGTTCCGCTGCTGAAGCCAGTGCATGTCCAGGCCCGTCTGAAGTTTGCCAGAGAGCACATGGATGATACAGCAGAGGATTGGGAGAATGTCATGTGGTCAGATGAAACCAAAGTAGAACTTTTTGGTATAAACTCAACTCGTCGTGTTTGGAGGAAGAAGAATACTGAGTTGCATCCCAAGAACACCATACCTACTGTGAAGCATGGGGGTGGAAACATCATGCTATGGGGCTGTTTTTCTGCCAAGGGGACAGGACGACTGATCCGTGTTAAGGACAGAATGAATGGGGCCATGTATCGTGAGATTTTGAGCCAAAACCTCCTTCCATCAGTGAGAACTTTGAAGATGAAACGAGGCTGGGTCTTCCAACATGACAATGATCCAAAACACACCGCCCGGGCAACAAAGGAGTGGCTCCGTAAGAAGCATTTGAAAGTCCTGGAGTGGCCTAGCCAGTCTCCAGACCTCAACCCCATAGAAAATCTGTGGCGGGAGTTGAAAGTCCGTGTTGCTCGGCGACAGCCCCAAAACATCACTGCTCTCGAGAAGATCTGCATGGAGGAATGGGCCAAAATACCAGCTACTGTGTGTGCAAACCTGGTAAAGACCTATAGTAAACGTTTGACCTCTGTTATTGCCAACAAAGGTTATGTTACAAAGTATTGAGTTGTATTTTTGTTATTGACCAAATACTTATTTTCCACCCTGATTTACGAATAAATTCTTTACAAATCCTACCATGTGGATTCATGGATTTTTTTTTTCACATTCTGTCTCTCACAGTTGAAGTGTACCTCTGGTGCAAATTACTGACCTCTGTCATCATTTTAGGTGGGGGAACTTGCACAATCGGTGGCTGACTAAATACTTTTTTGCCCCACTGTATATAGTGTCAGTTCTATTGTAACAACTGAGTAGTGAGTTTAGCAGACTTCTATCATACGATTTTGATTTTCAGAGATGAAAAATGACAAAAAACAATCCAGGTTACGTCTGAAACCTTTACAGTATAAAATTTAGTGGGCATAGCCTGTACATGTCACTAATCTTGGAATCATACACAAACAATGACATAGTTAGCAGAAGCTGCTTTACTCTGTGTTTATGTTCTAGTTAATAACATCTTTGTGCAAATTTATACAGCAAGCTGCTTCTGATTGTAATGAGATCATTTCCTCTCTTATCATCACCTGTGGTGTTTGAATACTTTGAAGTACTGTGATCATCGCATGTGTCAACACACAGACATGCAAAATAACAGCATAATAAGCTGCATAATACTAGTTTCAAATAGGATCTGATAAAACTGTTAATGCTTTCAGATTGGCTGCAAGGTGACTGTGCTGCTCTTCATCTACTTTCTGGCTACCAATTACTACTGGATTCTGGTAGAAGGCCTTTACCTCCACAGTCTCATCTTCATGGCCTTCCGATCAGATTCCAAATACCTCTGGGGTTTGATACTCATCGGATGGGGTAAGCACTAAAAGATTACATTACACATAACGCAGTTATGAAGGAGGACAAAATGTGACGAAAGCATCAGTTCTGAAGTTTATGGCTTCATTGCAACTACAATATGACACCATATGTAAAACAGCGCTTAATGTTTTCCAACATGCTTCAGAGAAGAGACTCATTAATATAGTTTGTGTCTGCTGTGTAGGGGAATTTCCAAACCTTTCGAGCAGAGTTAAGTGAGTGATTAACAGAAGTCAGTTTTATATCTGCAGTTTATTGTTGTTTTGATGGCAGTTGTGTAATTCATCACATCAAAAGCAGCAAAAAAGACTTTTGGAATAAAATTGTTGTTTCATCTGAAACAGAACAGATTTGTCTTGTGTTTTTGTTCAAGTTTTTGTTCTGTCCTTGCAAAGGAGTGTGTCACATTGTTAAGAAAAGTAGATGAAAGGGTTTTTTCCCCCACAACAGATTTTTCGTTTGTTTCTTTGAAGCCGCATGAACAAGCAAAGAGCAAAGAGCATTCACATTACTTTTCCGTCTCCTCTGGTTTTCTTTACTTGTAGTTACTTTAAGTCACTAATGTTGGATTACATCAGCTGTAATAAAATACTAAAATATAAAATAATAATAGACCTTTTATTGACTCCTCCATCAAACTGCGTTGAAAGTTCAAATGTGATCAAATGCAGTCCTGTGAAAACTATGTGCACCATTACTGGTTCTATAGGAATTAAGAGGTTGTGCAGCAGCCAGGTGCTGCTAATCAGATGCACTTAATTGATTACTTGCAAGTGTGTGAAACTGTTGGGAAGACAACGTGAACATTTTCTTTGTACTGTATAATCTGCAGATTCTGACAGAAATCTGCAGCTATCCTTTGAAGCACCGCTGCTCTAAAACAGCAATAAGGATCATTATTAGGTTATTTACATTATTATGTAAATAACACAATAACTTAAAGCAAAAATTGGGAAACGTAAAGACCGAAGTCTTTATATTAAGGTGCATCAGTCAAACAATACTGTTGGTCTGGGTCTAAACTGAGCGCGTTGTGTGTGACGTCTTCTTTTGCGCATGCGGCTGCTTTGAGCGTTCACACTAGAGCGCGTTTGCTGTCGCATTTTATTTGTAGTGTGAACGAGGAGACAAAAAAAAAATCGGATTTGATCAAAAAATCAGAATTGAGCATCAAGACCTGCAGTGTGAACGTAGCCTGAGGTTTGCAAACCACAAGACTTCTGAAACAATAGCCACCAGACCAGAGTTTGAGGTGTTTTTACTGATGTTCCAGCACTGGGTCAACCATAAACTCCTCTATATAAAAAAATATTTTCTGAAATAGAAAAGAAAGAAGGCGCTGCAGCGGTTCAGTCAAAAGTTCAGACCTAAACCTGTTTGAAATGCTGTGAAAGCACCAGAGAGATATAAACCTCAATGAACTGAAGCAGGGATGCGAAGTAGAGCAGGCCAGAATTCCTCCAACAATGTGAGAGAAAAATAAAATCATACAGAAAATGAATTCTTCTGTTACTGCTGCTAAAGGCGCTTCTATCATTTATCAGCATGGAGTCGACGGATCTCTTTACAGAACTCTGTGCTCCTAAAAAGATTAATATAGGCTTTCATTTTCATGTCTGTACGTTTACATCTCTGTTTGCTTTTTCAGCTGTTTATCCATGAACTATTAAAGCTTTTGGGAATTATTATATAATCTGCCTATAATCATGTAGCGAAATATTTATAAATTTGAACTTCTGGTTATTTGAGGAGCTTTAACAAACATTTGGAAAATAATGGATTAACAGTTCAAGCAAAAATGTACAAACTTTATTATTTTAAACATATTTTAAATCAGACATTTATTAATTTTTTTTCATTTGCTTTTTAAATCATTAAAGCACTATTTCTGTAAAATAAATAGCCTTTCTGCTCAAGTCTTTAGGGTCGCCTGATTCATTAACTGAAATTTGCTTTACAGACACGTTAAAACATTCTCAAAAAGTTACTGTAAAATTCCTCCATATACCAAATAATACTATTAAAATTTATGACTGAGGAATATAAAGGGAATGCGATGCATTTTCTTAAGCTGATTTGTATATTTGCATAATTTACAGCCATTCTTTGGCTTGTGGTTTGTCTTTTATGAATCCATGTGTTCATTCACAGGAGGGGATGAATCCACATAATGATGCCGCCACTCCCTGCCTTCTTTTGAACTAATTATTTTTTCAGCACACGTTTTTGAGCTGCTTTGGCTCGACAGCATGACACCAGCAAGAGATAAGAGGGGGAAGCATTCCCCAGCAGGGTAAAACACTTTGCAGATATATCTGTTAGAGTTCACTATCAACCATTTTTAAGTCGTCTTATTGGTAAAGTTGCCCTAAACACACACTTTTAGCACATTTTTAATTTGTCATGTTTTAGATGAAAGCCCAACGGTTCCTTTAACAACACGGTGTTTTGCATTGTTTCCCATCCTGCCAGATTTTATCTGTCAAAGCAACTCCTGCTGCAAAAATATCCTATACATAAGCCATATTAGCTATATTCCCAGTTGAAGAAAACTCGGGTGACTAACACAAGATCAATCGATTCACATCCCATCATTTGGCTGTGACAGATTTGAGGAGTTGCTTAATGAGTTAAGTGGCAGTGGCAATAGAATACGTGCATTATAAATGCTGCTGTTAATGATGTCAGAGGAAGAAAAAAATGGTTCTGTCACATTTAATTTCTCTTTTTGCAAAAGTGGATCTCACATCGTCGTCTTAGCTTCTCACACAGTGACAGTGTGGGTTGTTTCCTTTCCTGCCTCAGAGTAATATTTGCTAGTATCTGTGCTTCTCAGATAGTTATGGTCTCTGGTGGAGCAATTTAAAATATTATCATCGCCACAGCATCAAAAAGTGCAATTCTGTCACACATTTGACGTTGGCGCCTTGATGCAGTGGCTCAAGGTTTTGAGAAGAAAAGCAACATTGGCTTTTTACATCAGCATTCACTCTGGTTAGCTTAGGCACCAGAATTATGGGTAGGGTTGGGAACCCTGATGCTTATTCTAATGAATCAGAGGGGTCCTTTAAGGTCATGTTCAAATGGCTTCCAGTCTGGCTTTGTGCGTGCAGAATGACAGCACTGTGGGTTGATGGCAGAAACCAGAGTTGAAATCTTTTACCCCACATGTGCTTTCTCAGGCATCGGGGATAGCGTTTGGATTAATTCGCAGTGGAAAACTCTGAATGTGGGAATAAACAGGACACGTATGCTGCTGATTGCATTTCTGACCCAGTTCATTGCTTTCTGGGTTGGAAACTGGACTCTTTAATTGAAACTTGCTAAAAATTCAGAATCAGACATACATGGAGACTCAGATTTAATGACCAATTAAAGCTGCAAAAAGCGACGAGAGGGCCCTCGCACCCTGCCACACGTCCAGGCCAGCTTCAGCCGACCCGTGCTGAGGTCGAGCTGAGCTACATCTCGGGCATGCTGCGGTTGACTAGACTCACACGGACATGTGGCTGTTTTCAGTTTAGGAAGCTAATTGGGTGCTGCGTCACTTACTTACTGAACACCTTCTGTGCCCACTGTTTGTCAGTTGTCTAACCGTATATCACACTAATGTAGATCAGGTGTGGAACAAACAATTTAAATTTCACGTAATAATAATAATGGATTGCATTTATATAGCGCTTTTCAAGGCACCCAAAGCGCTTTACAATGCCACTATTCATTCACTCTCACATTCACACACTGGTGGAGGCAGCTACGGTTGTAGCCACAGCTGCCCTGGGGCAGGCTGACAGAAGCAAGGCTGCCATTGGGCCCTCTGGCCAACACCAGTAGGCAAGTAGGGTAAAGTGTCTTGCTCAAGGACACAACGACCAGGACAGAGAGCCCGGGGATTGAACCGGTGACCTTCCGGTGACAGATGCGATTCCCAACTCCCTGAGCCACGGTAGATTAAATGATGATTATTACCTACTGTGTGACCTAATATTAGCACGTAGGCGTGTCCTATCCAGCACGTGAAGTTAGGGACAGACTGGACAAGGTGCGTCCTGTGATGAATAATTGAACTTTGTCATGCCACCATGACCTTTCATGAAAACTCAAAATCTTCGCAGTTTAATATCACCAAGGAATTCAGTTTGCACTTTGTCAGATCACCATTGTTCATGTTGATCTGACGAAATGTTTTGGTGGGGTTTGTTAAAGTACACATCAATAAATTCTTAAATTCAGTATGGCTGACTTCCTGCTGGCTTTGGGACATGGCTCCAAGAGATTTTTCTCTACATCTTGAGGTATTACGTAAGGCTGCCAAATTTGAGACTCGTATATCAAGCGCACTATTTTTTTGCTTACAGTTTCACACTGAAGCATCATCACTACCTGATGTTGATTCTGACCACTTTTGAGATGGATTTGGTCAAACTGGGAGGAGAAATCATTGCATGTCCTGTTCCTGGCACTATGACAGCTATTAAGTATTACAATTAAAATATGTTCAGGGGTAAATCCTTATCATACCTGAAAAGTTGGGTCGAGATTAGACAATGTGCGTGTAATGCAAGTTCAGCAGTTTAATATTGCCCAAGTCTGTAGTTTAAACTGACTGAATATGAGTTTTATTCGATAAAATCTCTACGTGGAGTTTGAAAAAGCCATTTTCAGTTCAATATGGCAGACTTCCTGTTGGGTCAGGGAGGCCATAGACTTTGTTGTCCGTCTTTGCATGTTACACATATGTACCAAATTTCATTCATGTACCTCAAACTGTGTGTCCATAATACTTATTTATAACCTGCAAAGGTGGCATTTTGAAAACCCCAAACCAATAAACATGTAATTTTTTTTCTTCCAGAATTGGAATCAGAATACTTTATTAATCTCTAAGGAAATTATGTTTACCAGACCTGATGTGTGTGCTAAATTCTGTGATTTAGCTGTTGCATGTTAAGGCCTCCAAAAAGCTAATTCATTTGACGAATTAGTAAACAGAGCAGATACAATAGAGCAGGGGTGTCGAACTCCAGGCCTCGAGGGCCCGTGTCCTGCAGGTTTTAGATCTCACCCTGGGTCAACACACCTGAATCAAGTGATCAGTTCATTACCAGGCCTCTGGAGAACTTCAAGACATGTTGAGGAGGTAATTTAGCCATTTAAATCAGCTGTGTTGGATCAAGGACACATCTAAAACCTGCAGGACACCGGCCCTCGAGGCCTGGACTTCGACGCCTGTGCAATAGAGCATTTGGACTTTTAGTGCTCAGGCTCCAACTATGACAGTCAACATACAAGACTGAAACAAGTTTGAGGACAGTAGTGAAACTGCAGACTTGCAAACATGCTTAAAGGGAGTGATTTTGAAGTAGCACCCATTCAGATGCACAAGAACACTACTGTGAAGTTTGGCCATGGTTCCGGTTATGTTACTGAATATTCCCTCTCAGCCACCTCGCCATGGTACGGTTTGACTCCAGTTGACATAAATGGTGCACTGCCCTGGGAATGTTGAAATGAACAACAAGCATACTTCTAGTTTAAAACTACTAAGCCATAGATGGAGACCCAGTTCTCAGCACCAGCTGCACAATAACCACCACGATACTTCATCTGAAGGTTTGAAAGAAGCTGATGTTTACTCTGTCCAAGTCGAAGGCCGTGGTAAAATTGCCCTCTGCAAGCATTTTAAGGAGCGATCTTGAAGTAACAGCTGAGCTTAAAGTGCTCCAGAGATTCACGGGAGGATGAAACTTTAAACCTTGTAGTCACTGAAGTCAAAAGGAGTCCTTGTGGATTTATGACTAAACAACTGACTTTAACACTCTGGGAATGAGAATGTGGTGTAACTTAATCTACAAAACCACTCTTTAGGTTTAAACATATTACTCCCCAAAGGTACCAAATCTTAGTCGAATAGTTAATGCATTTACTCTTGTTTTTACACTGGTACATTTAAGTGTTTTTAAATGGTTTAGAAACTGTGGAGTGGAAGGGAAATCAATAACAACCCACACAGTTTGAACAAAGTAACAGTGCAGTTGGAAGTTTCTTTAGGAAGTCCCTGTATGTGTGTTTGTGTACACATAAGAAAACACACAAAAGCTCTTTAGAGACAGAAGAATTACGCCTGACAGGAGAGGCTGAATGTGCTGCTCTGAGACTCGCCATGAATCAAAGCTGCTGGGTCGGAGGGCGTTATATCATGAAGTATGAATGTGTAATTAAGTGTGTCTGTATGTCACCAGCATGTGGGATTACTCTGATGTTTACATTCACGTCATGTTCTGTGTGTGATGCCTGCATTAGCTAACATGCCCGTGTCGGGTTTTATTTCTCCTACTTTGTGACCTTTGAGTAATGTGACCTTTTACAACACCAATACAACACCTTTCACCAGGATCCACTCTGTCGTGACTGAATATTATTTTAAAATAACAGTTTTACACTTTTGTCAATAAAGCAAACAGGCTGCTTTTAAATTGTAACGATCACCTCAGCTTGGTTCTCCTTCTGTATTGTGATGTGTCAGAGATACAGTGACAAACAATGTGAAGTGCAGTCTGGGAAATAAATCAGGTAAACAGCACATATGACATCACCTGCAAAACATCTCATTTTGCATTATGTCTAATTTCAGGTGTTCCAGCTGTTTTTGTGGCAGTGTGGGCGATCGTCAGGGCAACAGTGGCAGATGCAAGGTAAGAGAGAGAGAGGACTCAGACTCTAACGAGATTATCCCTGCGAGGTGTAAGACGTCCTCCAGCCCTCCCTCCAAAACCTAACCCTAACCCTGTGTTTTGTAAAAACTGTCTTCTGTGTTCAAAATGTAGATAATAGCCAGTCAGAAGGATAACCATCTTTAAGAAAATGATATAAAAACTATAATGACATATTGTGATACCACAGAGACTGTGTAAGCATTGGGCCCATCTCCACTGATAACTAAGACCTCACAGGGTTATAAAAACATCTGCCAAAAAAGTTTGGAAAAAATAAACTTCAAAATGAATAAGAAGAGAGGCGGGACGTTGTAATCACTGCTTAATTGTGGTGACATTTGAATCAGTGAAATACAGGATTTGATATGCAAAGAATGCTTGATTTGGAGTGCTTGATACCAAATCAAGCACCTTCAGACGTTGCCAATGTTTGAAGTACACAAGGCAAAATCTGGATAATGAAAAGAGTTGTTAGAGAGTTAAACATGAGAGACCACAGGAATTATAAGTCAAAACGGGAACAACAAATGCAGGCAGTCGGTCAATATCCTGGTTTGTGTAACATGACAATATTCACCACAAACTACTGCAAGAAATACAAGCTGACGTTTTGGCATTTTAAAATCCTTAATCAAAATATTTAGATAATGTGATATGACCTAAACTAGAATTGGGAAATTAAATTAAACCCAAAATAATAAAAACAACCCCAGATTAAAAAACAAACAAACAGTAAATTAAAAAAATTATAATCAAAAATGAAAAAACTAACATTCTCCTTTGAATTTAAAATGTATTAACAAGTTAAATGGAAAATATCTAATTTTCCTTTGCTGTTCTTCTTTAGCAGTATCTAAAGTAGGTCACACCTCTGCCTGTTTCTGACTTTATTCATACACCTTTTTATTTGCTCTGTGTGTCTAAAAGCATTGAGCGTAGAGCTTTGGACCCAAATGTAGGAAACCAGAGGCAGAGTTAAATAACAGAAACCTGCATTTAGGCCATAAATAAAGTCTAGAAACCAAGAGAAGTCACAGGAGACCACTGAGAGCACCACACAGGGAAACAGATGCTTCGACAAAGCACAAAAGGGAGACAGGACTATTTATACACAAAGGGCTGATTAGACAACAAGAGACAGGTCGGAACAGGTTAGAAGAGCCAGGGGAAGACGGAGACAGGAAGTAAAACCAAAACTAACCTGAAGGACGCACGAAACAAGAAAACAGGGAACAATAGAGGATGCGAATACTTAAAGAGAGGAACAGATGCAATAGCACTGAGGGACCTCAGGCTACTGTTATATGAAACAAAGACAAACAATAATTGAAATTCATCCCTACATTAACTCAAAGATGGCACAGAAAATAAATCAGTGCCATCTTAAATCCAGAAAATATAACTTAAAGATGTGAAAACCTCCAAAAGAAGCTCATATTCAGTTATTGTCACAGGAAAAAATAATAGAAACACTAGGATCATCACACCATCACTGCAGTCTCGAGCATTTCAGAGTTTCTCGACACAGTTCCACTTCTCTACTCAGTCTGCTTTTCTGAATGACACCATCACCTTTTGCTTCTGCCTCTCTCACTGAGAATCTTCTTCCTTCCTCTGCATCTGTGTCACCTGCAGGTGCTGGGAGTTGAGCGCTGGGAACATCAAATGGATCTACCAGGTTCCCATCTTGACAGCGATTGGGGTAAGAGTGCTACATTTGTTGCTGCCTATAAATGCAGCTTGAAAATTCACAAGGATACACTTTTGTAAAAAGGGGCAGTCCTCTATAATTTCACTTCAGGCTTTTGAATTTCTTGCTTGTAACCTGAAAGGTTTGAAGTTTCCTTCCATGAACACAAACAACTTGTTGCTGAGCACGATGAAGCATCGGTGGCTCATTCTATATGACTGTCTTCTGAAATGAAGAGTTTTCTCTCATAACCTCTGAATTTCTAATATTTGGTTATTTAAAGTTATTAAACGCGAGTTATGATTTTATGCTTTGGATGCTGTTACTACAAGATGAAATTCTCCAATTAAAGCCAATAAAATTAGCAGTTTTGTAACATAAGAGAAATAATATTATAAATATTAACTAAATCTTTCAAAATCTCTGTTCCCTATTCACTTTAAGATCTTGCTGGTAACCAGTTCAGCAGCAGTGTGCACTCAGTATCCTTTACAGATCAGAAATAAATAAAGATTTGATTGAAAGTTTGGCAGGGAGCAATCTAAAAATACAAACTGCAAGCAGCGTTTTATTCTCTCTCGAGGCTTCAGTGTGCCGGAGTATGAAAAACAGTAAATAGAGTGATATTGCAATACTTTAAGTTGAGTTTTATCGACCACTGAAGTGCTTTCATGAGCCAGTTTCACCCATTCACACATGAATAATATCAAACACACCGTTCTGGCACATGAAGAACTCAACCTGTGACCTTCTGATTGGTGGATCCACCGCGTGTCCTTCACTCTAACACCTTCTCTGTGCTTCATATTTAACAATCATGCAGCTCTGACTTGTGACTCTGACTGTTTATGTTGTGGTTTCGCACTTGCACTTAACTTTTAGTGGTGCGTGTTTGTTATTGGACAGACGGAGCGGTGGTGGCTGATGGGAGATATGTTGGATCTGAAACATGTTGAATCTAAGGAATAAATCTGAAGGAGCACACAGGCACGCTCACCAACCACAGCTGGAAAACAGGCTGAAGGTGTACAGCAATCCTCTTTCATTTGGACAATGCTAACTTGTTTTTGCTTACAATTTCCACACTTATTCCCCTCATGTGTCGGGAAGCCAAACACCACCTATGGAATTTAAATAGAGTTCACTCAGAAGGATTTGTTCTTTTACCAGTTGTTCACAGAAAATTGGTCTCAGGCTGGAAAAGCCATTTACTACCTTTATACCATATGAATGCGATGTAGTAAAGTGCATGCAATGTTGTGTGCTGTTTGTGTGGTAGGCAGAGAGAGGGCTTGTCAGACGGGCTAAACAGAACTTAAACAGCTTTATTGTTGCAGCCCGGGAAACAAAATAGAAAACAACAAGGAACGCGACCGAAACAAAAAACTAGAACTTATTTCATAACAGAACAAACTGGGCACAATTGAGGAGGGAGGGGCAACGACATGATAAAGAACAGAGAGAAACTGAGGACTTAAATAGAATCAGAATCAGAATCAGAATACTTTATTGATCCCTGGGGGAAATTATTTAACATGAGATAATCAGGGAAAGCGACACAGCTGAGGACAACAAGGCTCAGGTGAACCGAATCAGTTAACGAGCACGAGGGAAGCAAACTGAACTGAAGAGACTATCACAAAAATAACCCGACTGAGACTAAAACACATGAAATTGACAGAACGATGTAAACAAAGACAAAACTGCCTAACAACAGAAAATATGATGGAAACAGATACTAGACGTGGGGAACATAGAAGAGCCGGAAAAACCTGAGAATAACAGAGAAAATGATGAACACAAAATCAGAATACAAACTTAACCAAAGCAAAGGTTATAACTAAACTGAAAAGTGCAACAAAGTTAAGCGGAAACTATCAAACAGAAAACAGAGTCCCAGAAAACGCTGGAGCCCAGGATCATGACACGTCCTGCTTTTAACCTTTTAATGCCTGAACCATGAAAAAATTACCAAAATATTCACATTTTTGAAAATGTTTACTGAACCTTCTGATCATGAATTAAATATTAAATATTTTTTATGAACTTTAATTTTTATTATATCACTTAAAATGTTTGGTGATCTATTTAGGTTTATTCAGGGGTAAAAAAATATGCACAAGCCTGAAAAACTTACATATCAATTATGATGCAGGAATGAAAGAGTTAAAGGAAGAATTAGGAAAAGATACCAAAGCCTCCTGGGAATTGTACACCAAACAAACAAACAACTCGGTTGACTTAACGATGCAGGCACAAAGACGACAAGTCAAGCAGCTAAACCACAAGGCTAACCAAAACAATGGGGAGCACGAAGAGGCAAAATAACACAAAGGAAGAGCAGCAATTATCCAGATCACGCTGCACACTGAGTTGTTGCAATCCTGTCGTTCTCCTTTGATTAAAGTTGTCACACAATAAGCTCATCGGCACATCGAAACTGGAACAGAAAGCAAATAACTAGGTGTAAAAATGAGCAAAGGGTGACTTGTGCATTTTAAATAATTACTTTAGGCGATGCACCTGTAACAGCGGGTACTACCGATCAAAAAAATGTGACGCATAGTGAGGGTGGCTTCTTTAGTTTTCGTCTGATCAGAGCATTATTCAAACTAAACTGTCTGCTAATATCCAAAACCAACACTCATTTTCAGTCCCTGACTGGTCCACTCTGCATGTCAAAGACCCTGAATCCCAAATTGCCCCCATCACAAATACAGGATTGTTTGTGATAGGTCAGAAACTTTTAAAAATAATCGAGTGAAATTTGTGTAAATGAGTGTGTGAATGTGGCCTGCAGTGCAAAAAGCTTTGAGTCCTCAGACTACAAAAAACACCATATCAGGCAGTCTGTTTATCATTTTAGTTACATGCAGAGCTAGTGAGTTTCAGTGAGGCACAGAGAAGAATGAGTCACTGTGTGGGATAAGGTTGAGGACCTTTGTCCACAGACAGTGTGGCTCCGTGATGCAGTGGTTTGCACAATCGCTGAACACTTGAAGGTTTGAGACCAGGAGGAGACATAAATTCCTCTGGGATTGCAACAGGAAGGTCATCCGGCGCAAGAATCTGCTGAATCGAGTATGCAGAACCACAAGCGAAGCTAACCTCTGATGAATGAGGGAGCACCTGGAAGAAGCTTCTTCTTATCTGTGTCCACAGACAGCTCTTTTTTTTTGCCCGGTCGGCACCTGTGACCTCACTCTGTGCGTGCTCGGGGCGTTTTTGTGCTCAGCGACTTGTCAGGCTGTCAGTGGTGATTGCCATAGGATCTGTATAGAAAGCAGACTCTGTCAGCACAAAGTTAAAACACTGCCAGTGAGATCAGATGCTTAGTCTACATTTTTCTCACAAATACGTGCCAGGTTACACTTAATGGGCTGCAGCCAGGAGAGACATCCAAGCACCGATGCCTGGCTCGTATGTGCCATATTTCCTTAAATTGCTGCCAGGTATTTATTAACCTCAACTAGAAGAAAAACAAGGGTTTACTGTAATTAAAGCAGGCGGAATCTGCTCATACAATCAGATTGAGTTAGAAATCCATCATGAAGCGCTGACAGCACTCCATTGTGGTCTGAATCTGTCGGGGTATCCTCACAGCGGGGGCTCGCTGGTGACAAATCTTTCACTTGCTTTTAAAATAGCTCAGCATTAGTTGTACAGCAGCTGAGTATCGATTCATTATACTTACAAGTGGTGGTCCTGAGGGCTGGTGTAAGTCGATGGGTTGGAGGTGGTGAAGTATCCGTGGGCTGGTGGGCTGCTCTCTGTGAAACAAAGAAGAATAGAGTATGTGGGCCGTTTTTGTAATTCCAATATTTATTTATTTATTTATTTATTTTAAATAGAATAATAAATAAAATATCTTCCATCTAATTCTAATTATTAAGCAATTGTTATTGTTATTATCCCAGCAGAGACACATTATATAATTTGGAGTCATTATGATTTATCAGCATGGCAAATTGTTACAGCAGGTAAAAGCCTGGTTAGGCGTAATGAGCCAGTTAAGATAATAATGGTCAGAATGTTAAATTAAATTAGCAACGTGTAAATAGAATATTTTCAGTTTTTGTTGAACATGTAAAAGAAAACGTGTGCTGGGGGGAAAATAAGTAAATCCTTGGATTTAGTAAGTGGTGCCTGGCAGCAATAACCTCAAACAGGTGCACCTGGTAGCTGCAACGCAGCGCAGCGCTCAGCAGGAAGTTTGATTTACTTATTTATTTTCCTCTGAACTGCTTCAGCTCAGCCGTACCCACGAGAGGAAGCAAAACAAACAAACAAAACAAAAAACCCCAAAACAAAACAGAAAATTTGTTTTATTTTAATTTTTGATGTTGCTAATAAACTGTCTCAAACTATGATTGAGTCATGAAAGTTGCCACTTTTGTAATATTTACTTGTGGCATAATTATAAGAATTATGTGACACACACACACACACACACACACACACACACACACACACACACACACACACACACATTCAATGACTGATCAATCATCATGACACATAAAAAGAATTCTGGTCTTATTTATAAAATATAAAAAATGCACTACTGAAGGAAATAGGAAAGGATTTTCCGTTCTCTTCCGTGCGGCCATGAAGCATTTCTTCATGGACAGGTCTCCAGAGGTCATACACAAACCTTTCTGACTCTGTGGGTGATCTTAAATCTTTGCTCCTATGCCTCCTACCTGGTGTTTCCTCAGGGCCTCAAGGCCATCCTGGAAACTTATTATCTAATTTGGGAGGCAGTACAAGACCTCGGTGTATTCCCGTTATCTCAAAGGAAAAGTCAAGGGTGCTAAAAAAAGACTTGAGAGCTGGCTCACTGTGCTTCTGGTCAATAGGTTGAGTCGTCTTTGTCCTCCTTGGTAAGAAATAGCAATTATTCTTCTCTCTCTCCCAAAAGAATTATCTGTAAGAGGAATAGCGTGTCTCATGTGATTACCCTAACAGTGGGTACTGTTTGGATGTAATGGATAGAGGTGAAGGAGTTTAAACTTGTTATTCCACACTGTCTCTATGCTGTAGGTCATTCTAAAAGCAGATTCCTTTGTTTTCTAGTGGATTACAGTGAGCTGGCTCTTGTGAACAAATGTGAAAGTTGTTCCGTCTGACTGAGCGCATCTGTGCCAGCACCCCATAACCAGCCTGTGTAAATGTGCATCTACTGAGCAATTTTAAAAGAAGTCAAAACAAATGGACAGCTACATCTGTTTCCTGAGAGGTGTAAAATTATGATATTATTTTATGCCATGTTATACCCCTAATTAAAGATTGTGAATTATTATGTAGTTTTAGTTTGCATTATTCTCCTGAATTAGAAGAAGCTGATAACTATTGCATTAGTTAAACTGATTTGCATTACATTAAATTGCTGACTTGTTGTGAATGAATGATATTGTTTTATGATGCATTATATTGCTGAGTTATAAGAAATACTGTTCGCAGAAGGTTATTGTCTAATTTGTCTGAGTAGAAGAGAACAGAGTGTGCTGGAGTTTTCTGCCCCATTTCAGCAGGAGCAGATAAACAGGGAGCCAAGGTCGTAGCTCAGGCGCTGTGTGAGAGAGAGCATGTGAATGTTTAGGCTTTTTATGATAAGGTGGAGGCACCAGAGGCTATAAAAGTTTGAGCAATGCTCCTGTAGCCCAGATGAAAAATATCATACTTATTCTCTTTATATTAACTGTCCACATCAACAAGCGTCATATTTCCTATGACCATTGAATGCACCTCTCAGTTCACCCCACGTGAGGGCACCTAGCTCAGCAACCAATCAGAGCCTACCCAGGCCGCATTGACCCTGTCAGCCAGGAAGTGAAGTGGAGGTGCATGGTGCTCCCGGGTTTTTTCTCATCTCAGCAAGAGGAGTGGAGGCATCTACTACTCAAACCGAGAAATCCACGGACAAAAGAGAGGAAAACTCAGGATTGAGAGGAAGGAAAGCCAGCGTACTTACCTGCTGGAAGTCCGGAGTCGAGTGGCTGGATGAAGGAGAGAGGCAACGTCGGTAAGACGAGTGTTGTTCTGATGGAAAAAACTTGTAGAGACTTACCGTCGCGATCATGCTAATGCTAGCTCGGTGTCTCACAGGCTAACCACTCACCTTTCATCCGGAGAGCTGCTGCAATTCCAACGCCAGTGTGTGTTGGGCTTTTGTGAAACAGAGCAACGGTGAGCAACATGTTCTTAGCTGCTCTAAAGCTAAATTTTGTCAGTTCACTGTGAGTTTAAAGTAATCTAGAGGGTAATTTTTAGTGCATTTCTCTCTCACGAATAGGCCTATAGCGTGGAGAAATTAAGCACACTGCTTTAATGCCTCTGAACTGAACTCATATGTATATTTTGTTGCTTATTTGCACATAGTTCTGAATTTGTTATGGTGTATTGTATTTTGAGTGTCAATGGTTACTTACCATAAGTATTGTTTAATTAATGTTTACATGAATAGAGAAATATTTGAGCAACTTAGATGTTTAGTTCTCATATTTGATATGCTTGAAAATTGAATGTTGTACAACAGAACTGTGAGATTTGATAAGATTTAAGATGTTGATGCAATGAATATGAGGTGATGCAATATTTTGATTTTGTATTTTAACCTTAAACAATGCATCTGAAACAGACTGATTAGAATGTACATTTTATGACCTGGATTATAGGTCAGGTTTTTTGGAGAGGACGGAAAAGTCCAAGGACCAGGACGATATTCTGGTTGTGATAGATGGCGAGCCAACCACTTTGAGGACGATCTACCCCAAAGAAGATACACACCACACACTCATACATTCCAGTTACATTCACAAGGACCTTTGAAGTTGGCTATCGCCAGCTTAACTCTAAATTCTTAAAGGGCCCCAACGAGTACTTTTATTTTGTTGAGTGTGCACACTATTTATTTTATTTTATACTTTATCTGTACAAATTGGACAAATACCTGTTATACTTTGTAACAATACAAGAGTGGCTACTCAAAAGTTAACATTGTGTCCAGGTCATTATTGCTGCTCAACACTTTGGCTCCATACGAATTTGGTGTCTTCTGATTCTGGCCAGGGTCTTATTACGAGCCCAAGTAATTATTGCGCTGTAATTCACCTTTATACCTTAAAGTTGGTTACAGAAGTGGCGAGCCAGCCAGGAGCCAATTGATTTGAGCATCAATATTGAGGCAATGACCAGCATGGATTTCATACAAAAGTCTGGTGTCAAAATACCTAATGCGGTTGTTGTCGCTGGGATAACACAGGTATCTGAGATGAACAGGTCATTGACTTTCTGAAACAGTATGGTAAAATCACAAGAGTCCTTTTTGTTGATGATTCACTGTCCAACTTCTACCAAAACCTGATCGTAGAATACTCTAGCAGTTCAGCCTTAGAAGGTTTAGAACCTCGTTTACCATACACATACACAGCACAAGCTGATCCCAGCGTTGTCTATGAAATTAAAACACTCAGTAGCATGTACACTACCACGGTTGGGAGTAATGTTACAAAAACCTACTTGGCGGAACTCAAGGAACTAGCCAAGCTGAGTGGCAAAGACTACGGTGAGGTGCTGAAGGAGATGATGTGTCAGATTGGGGAGGATGTTGAAGCCATGCGACCTACCACTGAAGAACCTTCTCCCACGTATGTCGAGACCACTGTTGTATCTCCGCCCGCTTCTAAAGAACGACAGTGTCACACCTCACATTCAGATGTTACACCAAGTGATACTGGTGCCACTGATGATGTTCCCCTCACTAATGGAAGGAGAGCAGCGTCCCTCTCAGTAAGTGACTTGAACCCACCTGACATTCAGAAGGTTGTGGTAGAGCATATCGTACGAAGGCAAGATGTTGTCCCACACATCCAGTCCCAGGTGAGACTCCGTTCCTTCTCCGGTAAGGTTCCCAGACCTAACAATGAAACTGATTATGACACATGGCGCACACAAATTGAACTGCTCCAAAATGATCCCAGCATGTCCCCCTGCAAATATCCCGAAAGATCCATGAGAGCCTGCTCCCACCAGCAGCTGATATAGTTAAGAGTTTGCGGCCTGAGTCACCACCTGTGACTTATTTGCAGCTTCTAGATTCAGCCTTTGGCACTGTAGAAGATGGTGAGGAACTTTTCGCTCAATTCCTGAACACCCTTCAAGATCCAGGTGAGAAGTCATCCACTTACCTTCACCGGCTACAGCTAGCATTAAACAGAGTCATGAAGAGGGGGGAGTCGCATGTGAAGGAGTGGACAAACATCTACTTAAACAGTTCTGCAGGGGATGTTGGGACAACGACCTACTCAGCGCCCTGCAACTTGAGCAAAAGAAGAGCAGCCCACCCCAATTCTCAGACCTGTTGTTAATGATTCGCTCTGAGGAAGATCGACAGCAAGCAAAAACTAACCGTATGAGAAAACACATTGGCACCACAAAGCAGAGAACTCAGTTACAGTTCCAGGGTGCACATGTTTGTGAACCAGAGGAGAAACATGGGAGTAGCATTGCTGCTATTGAGGATCTGCGAAAGCAGGTGGCGAGTCTGCAAAGTCAACTAACTACATTCATGTCACAGAAAAAAACAAAGTTTGCAAACAGCAAGGACCCTGCAGGGAAGCCGCAGAGTAAGATGTCAAAGCCACATGGTGTAGATGGACGTATGCAAAGACAGACTTCAAAGAGGCAAAGGGGCAGACCCAAGCCCTGGTATTGTTTCAACTGCGGTGAAGATGGACATATCGCTCCATGCTGTGTTGACCCCGCTAACCCCAACCTAGTAGCAGAAAAAAAGAAACAGTTGGAGGAGAAACAACGCCAGTGGGAAGCGCGAGATTGTACAGATTCACCTTTAAACATCTAACAGTTCCTGTTGTGGGACAAACAGGAGCTGAGGAGAGTCAACAACGTCCCTCAGACATAAACAATGGTGACAAAATCACAGCTGAGGTTAACAAAGTAAGTACCCCAGCAAAGACTGTCAAAGCACAAACATGTTCTGGCTTAAACCATTCAGAGCAGAACCAATCTTTCCAACTCCCTAAACAGTTGATTGGTACCAGAAGTACAGCTCAAGTGACTGTGAGAGGTGAAGAAGTCAACTGTCTTCTTGACTCAGGCTCCCAAGTTACCACTGTTCCTGAGTCATTTTACCAGCAGCACCTTTCAGAGCAAAAGATCAAGCCACTACATGACCTCTTAGAAGTGGAAGGTGCTAATGGCCAGCTAGTGCCTTACTTTGGCTATATAGAAATGACCATAACTTTTCCAAAGGACTTTATAGGTGTTCCAGTAGATGTAAACACACTTGCTTTAATCGTCCCTGACACTTCACAATCCCTCATGCTCATAGGCACAAACACCCTAGATGTACTGTTCGACATCTACTCAGAGACTGACTTAGCCAATCGTCAACCCCTCCCACATGGCTACAAAGTAGTCTTCAAAATCATTGAGTTGAGACGGAAGCAGACAAGTGACACCCATCAGGGGTAGTGAAGCTACTTGGCAAGATGCCTCAAGTCATTCCAGCTGGTTCAACTGTAGTGGTGGAGGGAGTCGCCCTTGGCGAGGGCCTTCAGGATGAAAAATCAGTTGTAATTGAGTACCCATCATCGTCCCCCTTGCCCGGTGGCCTGCTACTTAAAGCCGGTCTGGTGGACTTTCCCCAGCGGCGGCCCCACAAGTTGCCAGTTGTTATAAGCAACGAGTCTGACCACGACATTGTCATCCCTGCCAAGTGTACTATTGCAGAGGTTAGTGCTTATCAGACCATCCTATTAAAGGAACACAACAAGACCAAACAGTCAGAACTATCCCAGAGAACTCCAGAGACTCCGTCTTTCCAAGAGCCCACCATAACCTTCAATTTTGGTGACTCCCCAGTTCCATTGGAATGGAAACAGCGCATCACTCAGCAGCTCAGCGGCATGCCTGAGGTGTTTGCACAGCATGACCTGGATTTTGGCCGGACGGACCAGGTGCGACATCATATAAAACTTTCGGATGGCACGCCTTTCAAACTACGTGCCCGGCCAATCCACCCACGGGACATTGAGGCTGTCCGGAAGCACATTCAGGAACTCCTTGATGCAGGAGTTATTAGAGAGTCAGAGTCCCCATTTGCGTCACCCATAGTGGTAGTCCGGAAAAAGAACGGCCAAGTCCGGTTGTGCATCGATTATAGGCGTCTAAACCTTCAGACTATAAAAGATGCGTACAGCCTTCCGAAGCTAGAGGACACATTCTCAGCCCTCAATGGTTCACAGTGGTTCTCTGTTCTTGATCTAAAATCAGGGTACTACCAGATCGAGGTCGAAGAAGCAGACAAACCGAAGACGGCCTTTGTGTGCCCTCTCGGCTTCTGGGAGTTCAACAGAATGCCTCAGGGTGTAACGAACGCCCCAGCACGTTCCAGCGGTTAATGGAGCGGTGCATGGGGGATATGCATTTGAAGGATGCATTGGTCTTTCTTGATGACGTGATAGTATTCTCCCGAACCCTTGAGGAACACGAAGAAAGACTCATGAAAGTGCTCACTCGTCTAAAAGAGTTTGGGTTAAAGCTGTCACCAGAGAAATGTGTCTTCTTCCAGACTTCAGTCCGTTATCTGGGACATGTGGTCTCCAGAAATGGAGTTCGGACTGACCCTGAGAAGATTTCGGCCCTTAAAACATGGCCTGTCCCACAGACCCTGCGAGAGTTAAAGTCGTTCCTTGGTTTTGCTGGGTATTATAGAAGGTTCGTTAAGGGGTATTCCAGCATTGTGAAACCTCTCCACAACTTAACTTCAGGGTACCCACCTAGCCACAAGAAATCAAAAGTAAACGCAAGACAAAGTGCACATCAGTACCATGACCCAAAAGACCCTTTCGGAGGTCGCTGGACGCCAGCTTGCCAGGAAGCCTTCGAGTCAGTCATCCAAAGTCTCACCACTGCCCCTGTACTTGCCTTCGCTGACCCCCAGAAACCCTATATACTGCACACCGACGCCAGTACCACCGGGCTTGGTGCTGTATTGTATCAGGAGCAAGAGGGACAACTTAGAGTCATAGGCTATGCAAGTAGAGGGCTGTCACGGAGCGAAAATCGCTATCCAGCGCACAAGTTGGAGTTTCTGGCGCTCAAGTGGTCAGTTACAGAAAAGTTCAGCGACTATCTCTACGGCAACCACTTCACTGTTGTAACGGATAGTAATCCGCTGACTTACATTCTGACTTCAGCAAAACTTGACGCAACTAGCTATAGGTGGCTAGCAGCACTGTCCACATTCTCTTTCAAACTCCTCTATCGTCCAGGGAAGCAGAATGGAGATGCGGATGGATTATCACGCAGACCACACGGAGGGCTAGCGGACGACCTGAAATCACAAAAAGAGATTGAACGCATACAACAGTTCACTCAAGATCACCTTTGTGATCCAGACAACATCAATGCTGTAAATCAGTCTGTGGTGAAAGCAATCTGTGAGAGGCAGTTCACCTACAGCGTCAGTCCTGACAATGAAAGAGAGGCAGATGCAGATTGTGTTGCCTTGGTGGAGGTGCTTGCTGTGTCTCCTAGTGCTGTACCTGATAGCTATGGGCAAGAGGAACAGTTTGGAGGTCTGCCAACCATTCCCCATCTAACTGAGGCAGAGCTGGCAGACGAGCAAAGAGCCGATCAGTGTATAAAGCATGTTATTTCTCAGATCGAATATGGGGACACACCACCTCCAACCGTGCGCACACAGTTCCCTGAGCTTCCACTGCTCCTCCGAGAGCTTAACCGTCTTGAGCTCCGCAACAATGTCTTGTACCGGCGACGCCAAGAGAGGTCCCAGAAAACCTACCAGCTTGTACTTCCAGCTGAGCTTCGCAACACAGTTCTCACCAGCCTGCATGACCATATGGGTCACATGGGAGTCGACCGTACACTGGACCTTGTAAGGTCAAGATTTTATTGGCCAAGGATGGCTTTGGACGTGGAAAGGAAAGTGAAGACGTGTGGCAGGTGCGTGCGGAGGAAGGCACGGCCTGAAAGAGCGGCCCCCTTGGTCAACATTAATACGACACGACCTCTTGAACTCTTGTGCATGGACTTCTTGTCCCTGGAAGCTGACAGGAGTGGAACCAAAGATATATTGGTGATCACGGACCACTTCACTAAATTTGCAGTTGCTATCCCAACACCTAATCAAAAGGCCCGCACAGTGGCAAGGTGTCTGTGGGAGAACTTTATGGTACACTATGGCATACCAGAAAAATTGCATAGTGACCAGGGTCCAGATTTCGAGTCCCGCACAATCAAGGAGCTCTGTCAGGTGGCTGGTATCCACAAGGTGAGGACAACCCCATACCATCCTAGGGGCAATCCTGTGGAACGATTTAATCGTACCTTGCTTGATATGCTGGGAACTCTCCGTGGTCAAGATAAGTCCTGTTGGCGTGACCATGTAAGACCCCTGGTCCACGCTTATAACTGCACCAGGAATGAAGTGACTGGTTTCTCCCCGTACGAACTGATGTTCGGACGCCAACCTCGGTTGCCAGTTGACCTTGCATTCAACCTGCCAGTGCAAGAGGAACAACACTCATCTCACTCTGAATATGTGCAAAAACTCAAGTCACGTCTCAAAGAAAGCTACAAGTTAGCTATGGACAAGGCTGCAAAGATGGCTCACAAGAACAAAATGAGGTTTGACAGACATGTAACTGCATCAGACTTGGAAGCTGGAGATCGGGTATTGGTCAGGAATGTCCGTATCCGGGGCAAACATAAGATTTCAGACAAGTGGGAACACACTGTGCATGTAGTGGTGAGAAGGGCAGGCAACCTCCCAGTATATACAGTTAAGCCTGAAAACAGAGATGGTCCCCTAAGAACACTACACCGGGATCTGTTGCTACCATGTGGCTACCTACCTGTGGAGGAAAGCAGTGAGCATGTACAGAAGCCAGTGTCACGCAGGCCAAGAACCCGTGCAAATCCAGCGCTAGAGGAAGAGAACTCCTCAGACGAAGAAGATGATTTGCTCATTCCTGTTTGGTTGAGTTCCCCTGTCCACACAGTGAGTGAGAGTCCTGTAAATGTTCCTGATATTGACAACCCACCTGTTTTTGACAGCCAATCTGATTTTGGCAACATACCTGATATGCCTAACAGTACTACAGATGATACTGAATACTTATCTACCAATGGAGTCACACCGACCGAACAAGTGGATGAAATAACCTTAACTGAAACTGACTCACCTGTTGATGACCCAGACGTCCAAGAAAGGCAACTTCCATTTCAGGAGGCTGGCACCAGAGGTGCGAATTCTGAGGAGAGAGTGGAGGAGATAGTCCCAGTGGATACAAGGGAAAACATGGATACAAATGATTCTGTAAGGAGATCTGAGAGAAACCGTCGTCCGCCACGACGGCTTGACTATACGGAGCTAGGCAATCCTCTGATCACTGCAGCAAAATCATTCTTGCAAGGACTGTCTTCAGCTTGGGCCGATGTCATCAGTGATGGTGAAGAGCCTGCTTCGCCCTCTTCCTTGACCCGTCAAATAATCATCATTTAACTGTCTACCATGCACAGGGACGTGCATGAGTTCAGGAGGGGAGGGTGTAGCCCAGATGAAAAATATCATACTTATTCTCTTTATATTAACTGTCCACATCAACAAGCGTCATATTTCCTATGACCATTGAATGCACCTCTCAGTTCACCCCACGTGAGGGCACCTAGCTCAGCAACCAATCAGAGCCTACCCAGGCCGCATTGACCCTGTCAGCCAGGAAGTGAAGTGGAGGTGCATGGTGCTCCCGGGTTTTTTCTCATCTCAGCAAGAGGAGTGGAGGCATCTACTACTCAAACCGAGAAATCCACGGACAAAAGAGAGGAAAACTCAGGATTGAGAGGAAGGAAAGCCAGCGTACTTACCTGCTGGAAGTCCGGAGTCGAGTGGCTGGATGAAGGAGAGAGGCAACGTCGGTAAGACGAGTGTTGTTCTGATGGAAAAAACTTGTAGAGACTTACCGTCGCGATCATGCTAATGCTAGCTCGGTGTCTCACAGGCTAACCACTCACCTTTCATCCGGAGAGCTGCTGCAATTCCAACGCCAGTGTGTGTTGGGCTTTTGTGAAACAGAGCAACGGTGAGCAACATGTTCTTAGCTGCTCTAAAGCTAAATTTTGTCAGTTCACTGTGAGTTTAAAGTAATCTAGAGGGTAATTTTTAGTGCATTTCTCTCTCACGAATAGGCCTATAGCGTGGAGAAATTAAGCACACTGCTTTAATGCCTCTGAACTGAACTCATATGTATATTTTGTTGCTTATTTGCACATAGTTCTGAATTTGTTATGGTGTATTGTATTTTGAGTGTCAATGGTTACTTACCATAAGTATTGTTTAATTAATGTTTACATGAATAGAGAAATATTTGAGCAACTTAGATGTTTAGTTCTCATATTTGATATGCTTGAAAATTGAATGTTGTACAACAGAACTGTGAGATTTGATAAGATTTAAGATGTTGATGCAATGAATATGAGGTGATGCAATATTTTGATTTTGTATTTTAACCTTAAACAATGCATCTGAAACAGACTGATTAGAATGTACATTTTATGACCTGGATTATAGGTCAGGTTTTTTGGAGAGGACGGAAAAGTCCAAGGACCAGGACGATATTCTGGTTGTGATAGATGGCGAGCCAACCACTTTGAGGACGATCTACCCCAAAGAAGATACACACCACACACTCATACATTCCAGTTACATTCACAAGGACCTTTGAAGTTGGCTATCGCCAGCTTAACTCTAAATTCTTAAAGGGCCCCAACGAGTACTTTTATTTTGTTGAGTGTGCACACTATTTATTTTATTTTATACTTTATCTGTACAAATTGGACAAATACCTGTTATACTTTGTAACAATACAAGAGTGGCTACTCAAAAGTTAACATTGTGTCCAGGTCATTATTGCTGCTCAACACTTTGGCTCCATACGAATTTGGTGTCTTCTGATTCTGGCCAGGGTCTTATTACGAGCCCAAGTAATTATTGCGCTGTAATTCACCTTTATACCTTAAAGTTGGTTACACTCCACCATTTTGAGATTTTGAGGCTGTCTGCATCAGTGTCCATCTCCCACGTGTGTGATCATTAAATCATCGTTTGACTCAACCCGGCCGGACCAGTGTTGTTATTGTGGTTTTTTCTCTTGTCTCCATCCCCAATATTTTGAACCTTAACAGAGGTTAAATACAAAGCTTAACTAAGGTTTTAGGTTTTCCTTGCATCAATCCCCTTTTGTGTAATTCTGAACTTCTGTAATAGTATCACGGCTAACAAGACAAGCCGTGTGGAGTAAGAGAAGGACCCAAAGATGCAGGCAATGACTTAGATGAGAAGAGTGATCTTTATTGACATGGGGTGAAAATAGGCAAGGCAAGTTTATTTGTATAGCACAATTCAACAACAAGGTGATTCAAAGTGCTTTACAGAGACATTAGAAACAAAAACAAGATTTAAAATTGATTAAAACAAGCAAACAAACAAACAAATTAACAAACAAACAAAACAGTATATAAAATCAAAACAGATAAAATCAGTAGTTAAAATGTTAGTTTTGAAATTTAAGCTTAAAAGTGTGGATTTGGTGCTTTATTCAAATGCAGCTGAGAACAGGTGAGTCTTCAACCTGGATTTAAATAAACTGAGTGTTTCAGCTGATCTGAGGCTTTCTGGGAGTTTGTTCCAGATATAAGGAGCATAAAAGCTGAATGCAGCTTCTCCGTGTCTGGTTCTGACTCTGGGAACTGATAAAAGACCGGATCCAGATGACCTGAGGGATCTGGAAGGTTCATACTGGGTCTGGAGGTCACTGATGTATTTTGGTCCTAAACCATTCAGAGCTTTATAGGCCAGCATCAGAACTTTAAAGTCTATCCTCTGACGGACAGGCAGCCAGTGTAAGGACCTCACAGCTGGACTGATGTGGTCCACTTTTTTGGTCTTAGTGAGGACTCGAGCAGCAGAGTTCTGAATATCAGAATCAGAATCAGAATCAGAATACTTTATTGATCCCTGGGGGAAATTATTTTTTGTTACAGTGCTCCATTTTAAACCAACATTAAGACAAGACAGACAATACGCTAACTAAGAATAGTACAATATATACATATATATACATACATACATACATAAGTCACTTATAAATAAATATTTGGAAAAGAAACATGTGTAGTTGTAGCAGCAAACAGTGTGTTAAGTGGATGCGTTGTACAGGGAGATGGCCACAGGCAGGAATGATTTCCTGTGTCGTTCAGTGGTGCTTTTCGGTAATCTCAGTCTCTCACTGAACGAGCTCCTGTGACTGACCAGCATGTCATGGAGTGGGTGGGAGGTGTTATCCAACATTGTCTTTATCTTGGACAGCATCCGCCTCTCCGACACCACCTTGAGGGAGTCCAGCTCCATCCCCACAACATTGCTGGCCTTACGGATTAGTTTATTAAGTCTGTTGGCATCTGCGACCCTCAGCCTGCTCCCCCAGCATGCAACAGCATAGAGGATCGCACTGGCCACAACAGACTCATAGAAAATCCTCAGCATTTTCTGGCAGATGTTGAAGGACCTCAGTCGCCTCAAAAAATAGAGACGACTCTGGCCCTTCCTGTAAAGTGCTGTGGTGTTTTTAGCCCAGTCCAGTTTATTGTCAATGTGTACTCCAAGGTATTTATAGTCCTCCACAATGTCAACACTGACCCCCTGGATTGAAACAGGGGTCAAGTGTTTCCTGGTCTTCCTGAAGTCCACGATCAGTTCCTTGGTCTTTGCCACGTTGAGCTGCAGATGATTCTGCTCACACCACGTGACAAAGGAGTCGACCACAGCCCGGTACTCTGTCTCATCATCCCTGCTGATGCATCCAACCACCGCAGAGTCATCAGAAAACTTCTGAAGATGGCAGGTCTCTGTGCAGTGGCTGAAGTCTGTGGTGTAGAGGGTGAAGAGGAAGGGGGAGAGGACAGTCCCCTGTGGTGCCCCTGTGTTGCTAATCACCTTGTCAGACACACACTGTGGGAGACGTACATATTGTGGTCTTCCTGTCAGGTAATCAACAATCCAGGACACCAGAGAAGCATCCACCTGCATCGCTGCTAACTTATCACCCAGGAGGGTCGGCCTGATGGTGTTGAAAGCACTGGAAAAGTCAAAAAACATGACCCTCACAGTGCTCGCCGGCTGGTCCAGATGGGTGTAGACACGATTGAGCAGGTAGATGATGGCGTCCTCTGTTCCGAGACGAGGCTGATAAGCGAACTGAAGGGGATCCAGATGTGGTCTTACTATGGGTCGCAGCTGGTCCAGGATGAGCCTTTCCAGGGTCTTCATGATGTGGGAGGTCAGTGCCACGGGCCTGTAATCCTGGGGGCCACTGGGACGAGGCGTCTTTGGTACAGGGACGAGGCATGATGTCTTCCAATATAAGTTCTGAAATACAGAGTGACACAGAGGTGGTGAGGACAGGAACTGAGAAATAACCAAACTGGGAGGAACTAACTTAAGAAACCTGAAAGCATGACTCGCGGGATGATGTTCAGGATAATGCTAGGGTGAGACAGAATAACACAGGGAGGTAACACAGACGGACCAGTGACGAGTACAAGAGAACAAACACTATAAATACACATAGGGAAATGAGGAAACTGCACACAGGAGGGAGACGTGGCTGAAGCTAATCGACATGACGAGACAGGGAGGATGCAAACTGAATACACTGACATAAGACACGGACCTTCACAATAAGACAGGAAACTCAACACACATGCAAAGGCACAGATGCAGAGACCTGACTAACCTAGAACAGAGGGAACACACAGGCAGGGATGACACAGAAACAGAGGGAGCACAGAGTAACACGAGGGGCAAGGGGACCAAAACACAGACAGCAATAATGCAACAAATAAATAATAAACTACTCAACACACTGGGCCACAGACCCACGACTGTGACAAATAGTTTCTATATTTGGACATCAAAGTAACACAATCCCCTTTTCATTATCTTAACATGTGGTGGGTTATTGTGATGTGATGTAAGGCTATGAAAAGCTCAAAACACTGCAGTGAGAAAGTTTTCTGGGGTTACATGTAAGGCCAGCGTGCAGCGAGCTAGTTTACACTGTACACTAAAGACCTTACTAGGGGCTAAAATGCTAAATTAAAATAAAGGGGGGAAATATTTTGGTCACTGATAAATGAATAAATCACTGGATGAGAACAGCCCCACATTTGTTACATGCTCATCCTACAATCCAGTGAAATCAGGTTGTGTTTGTTCCTTTAAATACTCGTGCGTGAAACTGACTGCTGTACAGACTGTTTGTTCGGATGAAGAACAGGTGTTCTTGGTATCCTCTGGTTCCTCGTGTCCTTTAAAATGCTGTAGAGAGAAAAAGCAACGTTGGGTCGTTTTTCTAACCGATGCACTGATGAGAACGGGCTGACCATCCCTCAAATTTAGATCACCGAATAGGAAACTTCTTACAACAATGATACCGCTGATGTACAAATAATAGATTCCACAGGAGATAAAACTATGCGGCACATGCGCACGTAGGTGTGTGTGTGCATGAATTTCTCAGGGCATAAGAATCTCAGGCAGATACATCTGAGCACAATTAACCCCAAGAGAAAATGACCTCAGGACGGTTTTAATGAACTCTCCGTGTTTCTAAAAAGAAAAACCTGCATAGATAATCAGAGCTGTGATATTTTTATAAAGGCACTGAGAAGGCCAAGGTCTACAAATCATTAAAAAGGCTCCAACTTTCCCCGTCTCACACTGGTAATGATGTAGTGCTCCATGTTTCACATAAACTACATGTGCAGGTAATACACGCACCCTGTATTCAATATTTAGTAGTAAATACTTGGAATTACTTTTGGATTTGTCAGGGTCCTGGGTCTCCTGACCCAGCGTTTTTAGTTCTTTGTGATTTTTGTATTATTGTACTTATGTGTGTGATTTATTCTATGGCTTCTAGTTTTGATCCCCTGCCCTTCATGTCTCTCTGTGTCCCCTCTGTTCTGTGTAAGTCTGTGTCTGCATGTTTGAGTTTCTTGTTTTCGGTCACTCTGCATTGTGCATTATGTTCTCATGGTTGGTCTTTTGTTACTCTCTCTAGTCTAGTCTCTTGTGTTCCCAGCTGAGTATTTCCCTGTGTATTTTGGTTCTTAGACCTCTGCCTTATGGTTTATGTCTCTGTATTTCTTAGTTGCTGTCTCCACTGTGTCAAGTTCGCGTCTCTGTGTGATACTTCCTGTTTTACTTTGATGGTCCGTGTCTCATGTGAATGCGTCCTGCTTTGCTTGTCTCGTCAGTCCTGATTTCTCCCAGCTGTGCCCTCCTTCTGTGTCTCATTCCCCTCGTTACTTCCCAGTGTATTTAAACCCTGTGTTTCTCTGAGTCAGTGTCGTGTCGTCCCTCATGCTGTGTGGATCTACCTGTGTCTCTCTGTGAGTTTTCTAAGTTCCCAGTTTAGATTAGTTTGTATGTTTTTTCCCTGCCAGCAAATAAAGCTGAGTTTTGAGTTCACCTCCCTGAGTCTGTGAGTCCTGCATTTTGGGTCCAACTCCTGCCTGCCGCACAGCGATTCATGACAGGATTATAGTTCTCCAATAGAAAACTGAATATCAATTTCGTGGAATATCACTCCTCTGGACTGAGGGCTTTTTAATATCAAACTTGCTTTAACATCACAATTTAACAAAAAGAAGAGTGAGTCTATTCATGCAGTGTTTTTCTGTGAGTGGCACTTATGCAAAACCTCTGAATTAATGAACAAGCTACTTAAAACTGCACGTTTGTTCAAAGACATCTTCCGAGTTGTGTCTGTCTGTGCGTGCTGTGAGTTTACACCAGGCTCCCACTGGTAAAATCACCTACAGACTCTAATCAGAGGCAGCGTTGTTTCATCAGGACAAATTCACTGCTGGTTATAGAAAATTACTGAATGAAGACTTAATGTGTGTACATTTGTTGGACCAACTTTTCTTTCCCTAATTCTTTGTGGCACAGATTCAGCAAAGTGCTGGAAACATTCCTCAGAATATTCAGGTCCATCTTGACACGACAGGCCACCTGCAGCCTGAATGGCTGATACAGAGCAGGATAAATCTACGCTTTCACGTTCTGACACTGCCTTCTGAATGACACAGCAGGAACAGAAACTCATCAGACCTGGAAGTGTTTGTTCAATCTTCTGTTGTCCACTTAGGGTGATCCACATGAACTGTAGCTTCAGTTTCCTGTTCTCAGCTGACACCTGGTGTGGTCTGCTGCTGCAGACCATCTGCTTCAAGGTTCAGAGATGCTCTTCTGCAAACTGGTTGTAATGATTGTTTTTTTTTTTTGTTTTTTTGAATCACTGTTGCCAGCTTCCATGTGATTGGATGTTTGTGTTAGCAGTTGGCTGCACAGGTGTACCTAATGAAATGTCCATTGTGTGTTTACAGAGTTGAGGCCATGTTGCTACATTGTTAAGTGATTACCGTATTTCCCGGACTACAAAGCGCACCTGAATATTAGCCGCACAAGCTAAAATCAGGGGAAAATCCTGTTTTGTACGTACATTAGCCGCACCTGACTAAAAGCCGCAGGGTTCAAAGCTGGTGCAAAAAGTAGCGGCTTATAGCCCGACAATTACGGTAATGGTAAAAGTCTGATTGTTACTAACAGCTCAGCCAACAATGTTTGGTACTTTGGGGATTTTGAGTATTGTCTGTCTGTCTGCACACAGATTTGATTATTATAGTACCTGCTGGTTATGTCAGTGGAAACTATAGTTACAAAATTTTACAGATCTGTGCTTGTTTGACACTGGGTTACTTTTGAACACTACGACTGCATAACAAAATGGTCTCTAATTTCAACTATGCTTTTTCTCTGGTTACAACAAAAACGTTTAATTTCTTAATTCCTCTGTTTAATGAGCTGCTAAACACAAACGTTCATATCTGAACTGGCAGAACAGAAAATGAGTCTAGTGTCTGCAGGACTACTGTGCTGTTAAAATGCAGCCTCATATTTACACAGCTTGCAATGATACAGTCAGCTAATTATTTACTGAAAATGTTGGACACATAATTGATATACAACATTATTTTTTATGTTTTTTGGTAAGTTTATAAGTAAATGAGTATGCTTACAGACACACACAGGCAGTTATAGTAGATTGCATACAGTTGGTGTAAAAAGGACACCCAGCACAAAGAGAAGAGACATCTCATCTCAGTGTTTTTCATTGCTTATAGTGCACAGATGATAGCATTCATAGTTAGCACAGTCAATAATCAGTATTTCTGGAAATGTCTGTGAAGGTTCTCAGTCATCCAGGTCATCGTAGTCAAAGGAGCTTGCAAAGAAAAGCGTCTGGACTTCTTTAAGTTGCTTGAAGACGTTTCACCTCTCATCCAAGAAGCTTCTTCAGTTCTAAGGTCAAATGGGGGGGGAGTCCCAGATTTAAACCTAGTGGGAGTTTCCCCCCACAGAGGGACAAAGGACCCCCTGATGATCCTCTAATCGCCTGAGCCAAGGTGTGAAACTGGGTGTGGGTCCCAATCAGCCAGAGTTTCGGGTGAGTTCATTGTGAAACCTGGCCCCACCTTATCATGCGAATTCCTGAGATCAGATGGCCCAGGATGTGAGTGGGCGTTAAGGCGTCTGGGAAGGGAACTCAAAACTGGATTATAGATGGCAGAGAGTTGGTGTCGTAAACCCCCGCCTCTGTTCAAAGATGGTCGCTCACAGTGGACATAGATGGCTTCTTTCACTCCTCTTTCAAACCATCTGTCCTCTCTGTCCAAAATGTGAACATTGGCATCCTCGAAAGAGTGACCTTTGACCTTAAGATGCAGATGGACAGCTGAGTCTTGTCCTGTGGAGGTGGCTCTTCTAATCCAGTTTTGAGTTCCCTCCACCTTCTCGGATGAAAGGTGAAACGTCTTCAAGTAACTTAAAGAAGTCCAGACGCTTTTCTTTGCAAGCTCCTTTGACTGTTTCTGGAAATGTGATAATATGGCTGTTTGTTGTTTTAGAGCTGAAATTCATCACATGGTCTCATTTTCTGGGTTAAACCTTGGCACATGTTCAACAATTACAATTAGCACAGTCACATTTGTATCAGTTTGTCTGTGTAATGTGTTTATGATACTAAAAAGGAAATATGCAGAAGATAAAGAGTGAACACAAACACTGTAAAATGTATGAACTCACAGGAGGTGTGGGTTTAAGTAAAGTGCTTTGGCTCACTGTTTAATGTCTGGATTATGTCTACGTGTGCAGCGATGCTGGTCTCAAAGTGTTTTATATGGATTCTGAAGCTTATTCAGGCTCATTCAGGTGGTGCATAGTGTCAGACTGAAAGTATTACTAAGTCATTGGTGGCATAAAACATAAGCCTCAATTTGCATGTTTTAAATTACTTTGCTCAAGTCTCATTAAAGTCTCGTAGAGGAAATGACAAAAGTTCCAAAGGAGAAGTTAGTAAGCCTCTAAAGGTATTTTGCTATGATTAATAGACCTGCTTCCACACCGTACCTTATGATATACAAAATCAAGTTCTGTAACAAGTGTACAGGTGAACAAGGATTATTAGAAACACACTCGTGCAGTGTACCGAAAGACAGCGAATCAAATCGTGATTCTGGCTGACGTTCTGCACGTCCAGCCCACACGGCCGTCAAGTCTTTGTGTCCTGATCAGAATTAATCACCACTGTAAAAGGTTTCATTTATTTTATGTATATGATACAGTTTCAGCATGTCAAAATATGAAGAGTCTTTGCTTTTCTTCTGTTCCAGCTCAACTTTATTTTGTTTGTGAACATCGTGCGAGTTCTGGCCACTAAAATACGAGAGACGAACGCAGGGCGATACGACACCAGGAAACAATACAGGTTTGAAATGACTTTTTCTGTAACGCCACTCATTCATCCTGTGCTCAGGGTTGCAGTTTGCTCTAAATGCCTCTGTATGTCACTACTCGTGAATGCTGATGTGCTGATAACTCACCGTTTCACTCCCCAGATGCATCAGTCAGGTGCTGTGTCAGGCTTCTGTCTTGTTTCTTAAGGACATAAGGTTCAGATACTGTCAGTTTGCTTTAGATTGTTATTACTTTAGGCCTGCCACTTTTTCATTTGTCCTCCATTTGTCCAGTTTTCTCATTTCTTTTAAGGAAACTGCACACCATGGTGAGATATGGATATAACGGAGTTCTCAGTTACTAGCTCTTTGGAAATCACTTAATTGGTCAAAGATAATTTTACGGCTGTCAAACTGTGTTATCTTTTGTATTTCTCATGGAATCAGCTAAAGAAATGCAAACAATTTATGCATCTTTGCAACAGGCTGCTAGTGACAAAGAGCCTAAATGTACAATTTACAAGTGGCTCCAAGTTGCCTGCTGTGTGTCGACACAACACTGGTCCACTGGTTCATCCCCAGAGTTAGAAATATATTAGAAAATGGTCAGATACAAGGGCTGGACTACTCTAGTGTAAGACTACAGTGTGTATGACATGAAATTAAATGGGGAAAAAAATGCCTTTTTTCTTTTTTGATAGCCTTCTGATTGCAGCTCTTAGGACGTGAGGATGAAAGCTTTGAAAATTTTGCAGACAGACAATATTTACTGATTTGCAGTGTTAGGTCTCTACGGAACTAGATTCTCTTATAATGATGTGAATCTGAGCACAACTCTTAACCCCAGCTCAACAGAGCAACAAGTGAAGGATCCACTGATGCAGCATCAAATATTTACTGAGTTTAATTCTCAGTGTGCCAAAATATTACAGACTCCCACAGACCAAAGATGAGCACATTAGTTTATGATGATTGGCCACAGGTATGAGACAGATGGGTTGTATAGAGCGCTCTGTGAATGAATGAATATGATGCTTTATCTACATTAGGGGAAATGCATTGTTCAGTAGCTTTCTAACAGACTCGAGGCTGAAGTAAGGGTGGTTCAGACCACAAACCTTCTATTTAGAAGAAGTTCTAGTCTATGCTTTGACCCACAGCTGATCAACTTATAGAATCTTTTCTACTGACGGCTGTAAAAAAAAGTTCTAAATATCTTTGCTGGCAAGCTCAATTCTTTCAGATCAAAATTCAAGTCTTTATCATCTGAGTTTTCTCTGATCTCCTGGACATAGTTTCTCATCTGTCTCTTCTCTAACTAAAATGAATCCTGACAAATTTCATATAAAAGTTCTGCCTGTCACTTTCCCCCCCATGCTGCTCTCAGTTAGCGATCTGTCTCTTTTATCCAGGTGCATTAAATGATTGCTTCAAGACAGCTAGTGTCCTCCCTCTCACAGATACGGCTGTTTTACATAATTACAGTGCATGTTCAAACTTCCCTTCATTTCTGAAATTCTTGAGGAAACCATTTCTCATCAGGCTCGCCAGCCAGTTGACAAGAATATCTGACAAGTTCCAGTTTGGTTTCCATCAAGACCAGAGCAGTAGTGAAAATGAATAATGACATTTTTATACGGTTATACATGCAGCTGTGCTTTTCTGTTTAGACCTAATAACTTCAAAAATCTCCCTTACCTCAGTGAATATTTCATTAGTATTACCCTGAATTTCCTGCCTCTCAGTCCCGTAAAAAGTTTGACTAAAGACGTCAAACTGGTCTCTCCTTGACAATATCAAGTCATCTGCTAAAATCTTTGAATTTTGAACCTCACATCCTTAAGCTCATCTGGTTTTATTTGTTTCATCTAAAAAAAACTGCAAAAACAACCCCCCAAAAAAACTTCTGTTAACCAAAAACATTTAGATTTAGTTCTCACTTTAATGCGCTATCATCTCAATTATTTTAATAGTGGGTTCGTAGAATTATGTACAAAGTCTATGAAATGAGGTGAACTCACAGAAATACACACCATGTGATGTAAATAAAGACAAAAATCAACAAGCTTATTGATGCTGTTACGTCCCCACATGAAAGCTAGGCGAAGAGGGTGGGGGACAGTAACAGTTGGATCCGGGTTGAAATGAAAAGAACACCAGGCAGAGGTAGTTAACACAAAATATCTTTATTATAATCAATTAACTCAATCACATAAATAGTAACAACAGAAGGACACAGCACCGCTGCTTTAATGGTAGATCAGACAGGTCAACCCAAAGAGATGGCGACCACTTAAACAAAGAAAACAACTATAAGGCTCCAACAGAAAAAGACAGCAACGCTGCTATTAACAATAACCAGGCAGGCCACACAAAATAATGGAGGCCACCGTCCCTTAAGGAAAACCACTGCTCAGTTAAGAACTACTCAAAGAGCCACACACGGTGGGGCTGGTCACACACAGCAGGCCTTTTCCACACCTAGACCAGCCTCACACACTGGCCAGCACAGAGGAACTCCACCAAAAGCCTCTCCCACAGCCACACTGCTCTTCTCAAGCTTATATCACCTCTGAGGGTAATTGGTGGTAAACGAGGGCAGATGAGCAACAGGTGTCCTAAAAGGAGAAGGCAGGGGCAGAGAGAGACAGGGGAGGGGCAATAAAGAAGGAGGAGGAGAGGACAACACCACGCCCACACACTCCCACAGCCTCACAGGAAGTAACAGATGCTGTTGTGAAGACAGCTGGAGCTGTTTGGTTCAAATTAATTTTTTATAAAGCGACGAGGAAATGTGGAGAAAAGTGACAGAAATTGTAAGATTTCTGTGCAAAATATGTAACAGTAACTTGATTCTAGCCATCAGCTGTACTCCTCATCCTGGTGGCTGTCAGGGGGATTCCAACACTCGTGTTTAACAAAGTTTGACCACTTTTCTCCAACACGGTCAATCCATTAGCAGCTGGGTAAGGGCTAGACTTGGTGTTCCTAACCTTACTGTTCCTCTGATAACCACCAATGCTCAGCTTCAACCACTAGCAAACAGCTAAACAAACACAAGCTCACTTAGCTTGATAAGCGTGGGTCTGCAATAACGCGGCAACCGCTTACCAGAAAAAAACTATTCTTGCAATGAAGATATAATTACAGTGCAATAAAAATTGATCCCGAAACCATAAAAACGTGGGGACTGCCTTGGCTGCTGATCTTCATGGAAAAGAAGGCGATAGTGCTTAATGTGGGGCCAGGGGCTGTTATAGATGGGGTTGGGGTACTCCCGTGTCCACAAAGGGATTGGTCTGTCTCAGGCTCAGATGAGTAAACACACTAACATAAGCACTATATGCCCAACGCAAGCCCCCACCTTAACCTTTAGCAAAGATGTGATACTGGAATATAATTATTCGGGTTGTGAGAACTGAAGTGTCTCCACAAAATTATACACACACACACACACACACACACACACACACACACACACACACACACACACACACACACACACTCTCTCTCTCTTCCACATTTGCAATCATCACCATTTCCCCCCCTGCTGGTGCTGGCATCAATGTGTCAGATAAAAACCGTATAATTACAGTGTATTATCTGACAGGAGCGTAGCTCTGAATGCCGCTGGCGAGGTCGTTCTGTGTAGATGAACAGACGATTTGTCAGAAAAGATGATAATGATCCAGTAAACTGGAAGCTGAATACACGTCATACACATTTGTTTTATTTGAGTTTTTAAAACTTTTAAACTGAACAATGCAAACATGAGAACACAAATCAACATTAAAACAACTCACTTACATCCTGTGGTCAAGTGTTTTTCCTCCATTCAGAGTTTCTTATCTAGTTTATCTAGATCTGAGTCATTATTATAGTTATAGTCTACTTTTTAATGTTTAGTCTCCTAGTTTAGTATTTCCGCTGTTTGCTAGTTTATTCATATTTCTCAGTTCTCAGTAATTTGATTCCCTTTCATGTCCACTCTGTCTCTGTGTAGCGTCCCACCTTTGTGAAGTCAGTTTTGTCTTTGTGTTGTTGTTTCCCTTTCTGTGTGTTGAGTTTAAAATTTCACCGTGTCTCCTTCCTCCTCTGTCAGATCCTTGTATTTAGTCTATTCATGTGTTTGTTTGTTATCTTTCCATTTAGTTATTGCTTATCCTGTTCCCTTTGTCTCTTCCACGGGTTTTGTCTTGTCTTGTGAAGTCAGCCATGTCTCTGTTTGTTTACCTTTTTGTCTTAGTGAAGTTTGTGTGTTTTTGTCTCAGTGTTTATTTTGATTTTGTTTTGCTTCCCCTGTCTCGTTACTCCTGATTTGTCTCTGCTGTGTCTCCAGCTGTCTCCACTTGTCCTAATCACCTTCCCATATTGTCTCATTCTCCCTTTGTCCCTTGTTGGAACCTGAAGTTATTGAAGTTCCCTTCGTGTTTCTCAGTGTTTTCCGGCCTCAGTATTTTTGCCACTTTAGGTTCCAGTCAGTTTATGTTTGTAGTTTTCCTTTTGTATTTTATGTTTTCCTTATCATTGTATCCCAGTCACCAAAAAGGTAAAAAAACAAAACAAAAAAACCTGCAGAAAAAAATTAAAATCACTTCTAATGTTGTGAAAGAAAACACAAGCAAAACACAATCTAAAATGTACCACTTCTTGAGTTTTGACAAAAAACAAACTAATCAAAAAGTCAATTACTCTCAACTGAAGAAATGTTTTCCTTACTTTCTGTGCTATAAAGCAATCAAATTACCCTTCCATCTTCCGGTTTCCATTTTCTCTCGTCCTCCTCACCTTTATCTTTGTTTCATTCTCGCTATTTTCTCTAAGTTTCCCCGTTTCTTCCCTTTTCCCATTAATTTTCCCTTTTTAATCCTTTTGGTAGATTTCTTTCAATTAGCTTATTTCTCGGAATCAGACCATTTACACACTCAGACAAAATCACTGAGATAAAAAAAAAAGCTAATGGACCACAAGGAGTTCATCTTTCAGCAGGAAAAATTGTTTACACCTTATTTTTCCAGCTCCAAAAAAAGAGGAGATGAGAACCCACACGGCCAAAATCGAAGAATCAAGTAAAAAACTGATTTGATTCTTAGATTTTGACACAAACACGTCCATTAAACTTTGTCTTAGTCATCTTTCTGCTAATCTGTTCCAGCAGTTACGAAAATGGAAATGCAAAAGGGATCTGATGAGAGATTCACATACTGAGATCAACAGTAACATTATAACTAATTAGAACCAAGCTGTGCACTGGTTTCCTCTGCTTTAAATTAAGTGAGCTAATTTTTCCATGCCTCCCTCTGCTTGTCCAGGACAGCGAGGTATTCCCAATCCAACTGAGAGATATAATCTCTCCAGCAGGTCCTGGATCCATCACGACGCCTCCTCTCAGTAGAAAGTGCCTGAAACACGTCATGTAGGAGGGGTCCAGGAGGAATTCAAGTCAGATGCCCAGACCGCCTCAAATGGCTCCTTTCAGTGTGGAGGAGCAGCAACGCTCACTCCAAAGTTTAGTCGAGGCACCCTTCAGAGGAAGCCCTTTTCCAGTGCTTGTATCCGCGATGCCAAATATGTGCTGATGAATTTTGAGCAAAAGCCTGCAGTGTCTTCCTGTGAATGCTGTGGGTGGACTAATGAGATGAAACATGAAAAACAAATCTGTTTCATTTTTTTTCTCTAAGGTCACAAAGTTGTTGCTAAAAAAACATTAAACTGGCTGCAGATGATGTCTTTGATCACGCCAAATCTGCCTTTTTACCTCCATGAATGAAGGTTCATTCTTTGTTTTCACATGTCCGGTGCATCGATGTTTTCATGCAGAATATTGTGAGATTTGTTTTTCATTTGATTTAAATGCATACGCATGTTTAGCCTTGTGCCTTAGTCAAATTAAAGTTTTGATTTCAATTTATGCAGCGAAATTGGAAATTTAAGAAACACTGACAAGTTGATTTTTAAAGGGTAATTTTAAAACATTCACAGTAAAACGTTCTTCAGAGACGGAGCATCAGTATTCATTCAGCTCTTTAGTAATTACATTTGGTCCAACCATTTCTATTCTTTGGTCACATTAAAGGAAACGACTGTCTGCTGTTATGATGCATGCACACGAAGTGCAAAGCAAACGTTCACCGTGTAAGTCATGTGAAAACAGTCGTTGGAGTGCTTTTGAACTCTGGCTTTTAACAGCCAATGTTATCCTGAAAACACAACCTTATGCTTGGAATTAAGAAACAGGAACATATTTTAAAAACCACCTCTAAGCCCCATTAATTACAGGATAATATGGGAACACCCACTTTCGTTCTGCAGGGATGTTAGCTGCTCTTAGCTTGCTAGCTTTTGCTTTTTGTTTTGTTGTTGTTTTTTCGTACAGGAAATTCAAAATGATGTGCATGTGACAACTTCGACTACTGCATAATATTTCTGTCACAGATGAAAAGCGAAGTTATAACTGCGATCCTGGCACGAGCCACACCAACACACTACAGCACATTAGGAGAAATCCTCAAAGCTCAAGGATTTCTCCTGTATTTCCAGCCTTTTATGCATCTTGTCAGAAAGTTTTAAATTCATCGCATGATCTAATTTACTGTGACGTTCAAACTGCTCCTCTGTTGCAGACTGTAGCAATCTTTTGCTGGAGTTGTTGTGCCCATTTCCCCCCGGGGGTGTACAAGGGACAACAGAAATTTAATAGGCTGCAAACTTGCTCCTCACTTTCCAGGATGAGTCATTACATGAAGTTCTCATCTGAGCTTAAAGGCAGTTTAGACATTTCAGTGTGTTTTTCAGGCCAAAGGCAGTACAATCCAAAACAAGTCAGATGGTCTCATAAATTAAAAGCATGGAACTGATCCCTGAGCAGTATATTCCTTGGAGGTCTGTACTGTTTAATGAGCGTGTGCACTGGCACTACATTTGTGTGTGCACATGTGTTTCAGCTTGCTGGCATAAGTCAACTTTAACACAGTATTTGTTTTGATGTTCATTTACTTTATTAAATGCTTGAGAGTGAAACTGTGCACACTTCAGTGCCGTTGTTGATGAGCTGCTGATGGACTGCAGTTAGCCGTCTGCAGTGACTGGAACGTGTATTTGTTCATATTGCTAAGACTATGAGGTACTTCCCGCTTTTATAAAGCATTCATAAAGCTGTCAGTTTGATTTCTAGTCAGTGAGCTCAAAAACAACAGGTCAAATACATGCCCACCAGGAAATAATCCCAACAGAACAGAAGTAATTTTATCTGATGCATTCAAACATCTGTCACTTTTTGATTTAGACGAACGGTAACTAACGGGATTCTCACTGAAGCCAGAAGTGGAGACTGAAGCTTGTTATATGCTCTGGGAAACGGAGTCCCAGAGTTTGCTTAAAATCATTTATTTTGCACGTTCTCCCAAGACTGAGCCTAAATGATAAACTGAAAAAGTATACTTTAGTTCTGCAGTCTAGTTACCTTGCTTAATTAACATTCCCCGAGCAACAAGTTTGAAAACCTGTCCTGTACTTTTGTATTCGAGCCAGGAGAATTAGCTTAGCTTGTGTGAAGAATAGATGCTTGGCAATTTAAAAAAAAATCACTGCCAATTCTGCATCCAGAGAAAGTATTAACCTGGCAAACATCAAACTAATTTGCCGCTAGTTAAGCCGTACACTGTAACGATGGCTGCTTTCAGTCACTTCGATATGAAAACTAGAACCTCTGTCTTGTGTGTGTGTGTCCTCGCAGGAAACTGGCAAAGTCCACTCTTGTGCTCGTGCTGGTGTTCGGCATCCACTACATCATCTTCGTTGGGATGCCTCATACATATCAGGGACCAAGCTGGGAAATCCGAATGTACTGTGAGCTGTTTTTCAACTCATTTCAGGTACTTTCTGTGTTACACAACATGTTATGAGCGCTTCGCATCCGCTTCTTCCTGTGAAAAATGCACCGAGCAGCAAACACACCTGCACCAGGTCATTTTGCTCAGACTTTTGGCGATCCATGAAGGGAATGCAATTTTGGTGCACAGAGCAAATGCATTTTTCCTGGTCGCTTGGACTTGCTTAGCATTGGACCTGCTCCATAATATTTTGGCCACTTTAACTAAAAAACAAAAACATTTTGTTTTCCTAACTTTTGCACTTTTCTTTTGTTTGTGGAAACTTTCAGCCGGTCAGTCCAAGCATTATTTGGCAAGTTAATGAGAGACTATTTAAAACTGTGCAGTTGCCGACAGCTAGAGGGGGCCTACAATGAACATCGTTTATTTACACTGGTACACACAAGCTCTTTATATCTATTCCAAGGTCACAGGCATCTGTTCCATCTGCTGCCTAAATAAACACGTGTAAAACCACAATTGCACAGCGAGTAGTGAAAGCATCAAGCAAGCGACTTTACTCATGAGCTTATCCAGTTTGGCAGCTTTTAATAATGATTCCACTCTTTCCAAGCCAAATCAGCAGGTGTCTTGGGTACTGACACATTTCAAACGACTCGCCACAAATCCATAGAAACCAATCAATTAACAGTAACACCAGTGCTCCTGCATTTTTAATTACAGTACTGTTAGACGTGTCTCGGCAGTAACGATGTGAGTGACAGGGATTGTAGAGATTTTACAGTGCTCCCTGAACCAAGAGGCTTGTACGGCCACAGCGGCTCTAAAGATTTAGCATTTAGAAAAGCCTTTAATTACTGCTGTCGCACTGTAGTAGCATTTAAAAGCAGATCATTATAGATTTTTCTCCGGCCAAATAAAAATAAGCACTGTTACACACACACAGAAGAGTAGATTTCTTTAAGCTTGCTGACACGCCAAAGAATATTCAAAAGGGAATTCATCTTATTTGCCTCTGCTAGTGTAAATAAAGTGTAATCGAACTGCCGTGTTCATGTCTTGGATGTAATCTGAGTAACAATAACTTACTGAGCATCTTCTAGATCAGGGGTGCCCGATCCCAGTCCTTGAGAGCTTCCGTCCTGCAGCTTTTAGATGCATTCTTGCATCCTTCAGTTACTTTTCTGAAAGTGACTGAGTCGTGGATATTTTATCACTTACACGTCAACTAGTCAGCTCAATTATTACATTTTTCATGTCATGGATCGGGATGGCCCACAATTATCTTCTCTAAATGCCTCTGGGTGACTGTCAGTGAAGCGCCTTCATAATGACTCTTGAGTGCTGCCTAAATTTAAATGAGCAGTTATAATTATATGTAAGTGGGGTTGAGCCCTGTACTGGGTGTGAACTAGATTAACTAACATACATGAACAGAGTTTATTTTCAGCTTGGCATGAATAATCAGCGAACATGTTACCAAAATGTTTATGCCATACATGCGTAAGCTGCTGTTTGAAAAAGCTGAAACGTTATGCTTCAGCATAATAAATAAATAAATAAATAAATAATAATGAATAAATGAGGCCTTTCATTGAAAAAAATTAAAATGCACGAAACCTTGTGTAATTTTTACTGCCTGAGTTCATTTTAGTCATATGTACTCTAAAAGTAAGTACAGAAAGGAAAACATGGTTTTAAAGGTCACTATACAAAATTTACGGTATTTTCCTACATTTGGTTTTCGCTGGTCGCCTGCGCTGAGATGATGTCGTTTTCATAATTCGTAGTTTCTTTGAACCAGTTTCAATTAAGTTTACACTTAAGTGTTCTGCAAATTATCCACTGTCTTTTAAGTATTTTATAATAACTGACCTTCAGGCACATTTACTTAAGTTTTTTATTAACCAGTCAAGCATTTAATACGATGAACATTCAACACTCGAGAACTTCTGAAAGTCGTGTAATAAAAGGTCTTTGTGGTAAAGGTGCTCGGTCTTCTCTCTGAGGCCACTGATTGCTGAGCAGTGTCACAGGAAGTTATATAGCAGACACAATGTGCAATTAACAAGAACGAAAGAAAATAACAGCTGACAGAGTGAACATGATGCCGTCTTAATGTGAAATGTTGCTGTCATCAGATTAAAAATGATCCTGTAGTTTAAAAAAAACCTGACAGTTAAATATCGAGGTTAAAGATACGTAAATCATTTTGTTTTTTATTAACATTTTACACAACTTGAAAGGAAAAATTAAATAAATTTGTAAGCAAAAAACCTAAATAGATGATGTAAATGTCAGCTTTAATGTTACTCTGATTTACCAGCAGAACAAAATAGACTGTCATTCCTATAATAAGTACTTTCCTTCACGTAACACCACATTGTTTTATATTTATTAAAAGAATAAACCCAGAAGACACTCATGAATAATTCTGTGTCTTTTAAAGGTGCATAGTCAGCGTAGGTGCAGGGTAAGCAAAAGGGAGCCAGTCTCAGTGCCAAAGTCAAGCTTAGGTAGACGTGACTGTGCAAGGAGTAAGTTTAACAATCGTGGTTTCAGAGTCATTATTCAAAAATAGGAATATATAGCAAGTTCACAAAACTGTGACAGTAACTTCAGAGCACAGAGGCTTCACAAACAGGAAGCATGACTCTTTAACTTTGTTTACTTTGTAGTTTCGTAACCTTTTCATGGCTGGCGGTGGCTGCGATTAGACGCAATAGGCTTTCAGGTCGTCTGTTTGCCCATCCCAGGCTTGTGGATACAATATCTCAGGAATGCCTTTGGGGAATTTCTTAGCATTTGGCACAAACTTTGACTTGGCCTCCAGGATGACATGGTTAAAATTGAATTTGACTGCAACTTCAGTGGTTGGCAGAGTCATTCAAACGCAATGCGGCATTTCTAATTTACAGAATAAAGGATATGTGTGTAGAGCAGGTTTTAAAGGGTAAAGAGAAAGGAAGCGTGTGGAACATTGTATCAGCTGCCTGTGGGAACATTGTTCTACCTTACTAATAAATGGACCCCAAAAGCTCTGATCCATGTTTGATAATGTGCAGCTACATCCTTAAATAGTAGGGGGCCATATTCAACCAACCAGTATAACCAAGACATTTTAATAATTTCTTTTTTTAATTAGGCTGATGTGTGCACCTATGCCAGCTGAAGCCAAAAACAAACAAACGCCATGCTTGAATTTGTGATGGGATCCAAAGATGCAACAAAAACACAATTTTCTGCCAAAATGAGCACAAAAATTACGCACTGCCCCCCGATGAGCCAAATAACCCTCAGCTGCATCACTCCATCCACCTCAGCATCCACCTCAGCATCCACCGCAGCACGAGCGCATTTATTTGAAGCCACAATATTATCATGGAGACAAAAATTGCTCTGAATGTGTAAATTAAACACATTCACTCGAAAACATTACTTGTTATTGCATTTATCCATGTAAATACTCTAAAAAAAAGTAAACCCTTAGATAAAAAATAAAGTTAAGCTACATGCAGATGTAAGGACAGATGCTAAGTATCATTTGTATGGAAGTGATGTCTGGACAGGTGCTAAGCAACCCACAGGGCTAGATTAACCTGCTGAGAGGCCCTGGGGTGGAAGTTATCTGCCAAGCTCTTACTCACCTCAGTTCCTCCAATTCTCTTTTGCATGGATGAGTGCTCCCAGACTCCAGGTTTGGTATGATTGGTTTTGCAAGTGACAATTAATTTAAAAAATGCATTTACAAAGATGCACTCAAGCACATTAGTGTAGTGATAAAGGCCTGAAGTGTAATGGATTTTTTGGAGTTAACCCATTGCCCTTGTGAGGTGTCACTGGATCAGAAGGCCTGGGAAAAGTTTAGTCACAGTAAGGAGAGTATGATGACCTCTGTTTGCTGATAGTGCTGAGCTTTCTGGCTTTACGAAAGGTAACAAGGACACCCCACCTGCTTTTAGATATTTAATTACAAGTAAAGCTCTTAATCTTTGATTTCAGGTGTTTTCAGTCTCATTCCTACAAGTGTATAAAATCAAGCACCTAGCCATGCTGTCTGCCTTTGCAAACATTGTTCTAAAGAGCTCATTGAATTGAAGCTGTGCTGTAATGGGATGCCGCTGTTGGCTGTAGCTCAGGTGGTAGAGTGGGTGACCTACTCACCGGAAGGTTGGTGGTTTGATCCCAGTCTGCTCTAGTCTGCATGCCAAATATCTTTATTATCCCCACGCTCCGATGCATCCATCGGAGCATGAATGCGAGTGAATATTAGATAGAAGCACTAAAAAACCTTACATAAAGTGCTTGTGTGATTGGGTGAATGCACAAGTTGTATAACGCACTGAGTGCTCAGTGAGAGTAGAAAAGCGCTATATAAGAACCAGTCCATTTACCAGCCCATTCACTGTTTCAACAACTCTTACAAATATCAATGTTCCTTCTCTGGCATTAACATTAGCACAAACACTGTCCACCAGGAGCTTCATGGTATCGGCTTCTATGGCAGAGCAGCAGTGCATTGCATAGGTGGCGCGCTGCTTTAGTCCATGCAGTCTGTCAGGAAGGTTTTGGTAGAAGAGCATTTATGAAACTGATACAACATCCTACAACCACACCTGTAGGCACGTATCTTCAGTCATTCTCCTTGACATTATCGATATTACCCCCAGGTTCATTTTGAGACGACATCAACAGATCTCCTGTAGCGTCACATTTCCTTAATATTACGTTAAGTACATGTAAAACTTATGGGCAGTACACACCTGCAAAAAACAAACAAAAAAAACAGTAGATGGACATCCATCCATCCGTTTGGGTTGTCATAGGGAACATCATGGACCGTCTGTCAGACAGACAGATGACCGTTCACACCTAAGCCTGATTTACAATCACCAATTAACCTAACATGCATGTCTCTGGAGTGTGGGAGGAGACTACACAAGCCTCAGCCAGTCAGTCGATTCAAACTGGGCACCTATGGAAACTTTATTCCCATTCCTCAAAGTTATTCCTGCATTTGTATGTCAGCACAGCAGATTTTACACTGAAATAGCAGATGCTCTCACTCATTGTTGTGTCAGGGTCTTGCAGTGCAGTGTAGTAACACTATTAGCTGCACTATATTATTTTCTGGCTTAATATTTCCACTTCTGGAAATATTAAGCGACCATGGCTCAGGGGGTTGGGAAGCGTATCTGTAACCGGAAGGTCGCCGGTTCGATCCCCAGGCTCTCTGTCCTGGTTGTTGTGTCCTTGGGCAAGACACTTTACCCTACTGCCTACTGGTGTTGGCCAGAGGGGCCGATGGTGCGATATGGCAGCCTCGCTTCTGTCAGTCTGCCCCAGGGCAGCTGTGGCTACAACTGTAGCTGCCTCCACCAGTGTGTGAATGTGAGAGTGAATGAATAGTGGCATTGTAAAGCGCTTTGGGTGCCTTGAAAAGCGCTATATAAATCCAATCCATTCTGTTATAAGTACGTGCTTCTTTCTTCTTTTGATATTGGATAAATGTCTCTGATTCTCTGAATCCTTTTTTTTTTTAAAATCAAGTAATTATCTTCTCTGCTATTTTTGAAATGCAGGACCTGAATCTCATCATTGTAGAATATATATCTCTTTACTCTTTGGTAACATTTTTATGAACAAAGACTGTGAAATAGGTAACCTTGGATACTGATTTTAGGGACAATGATTGTGTAAAGAGATTAAATGAGTAATTTTTCATATTAAGAGGATTTGCTACAGTATGAGCCACAAGGGAATATTTCTTAAATGAGACGTTGTCAACCTGACAGAAACAATGCTGAGCTGCTGGTTTTCTTATAGAACAGATCCAAGCTGCCAAAATCAGAATTAGAGACGCTGGTGTCTGTACATTATTAACGTTTCTGTTTTTCAACAGCTTGGCAGAGTATATTCTTCTTCAGTTACTGTCATGATGAAATGTTTAGTAAAATCAGAAACTAAAAATCTCTCCAGAGAACTTTGGTTTGTTTTGGCTTTTCAGAGATTTACTACCAAGATGTCTCTCACTAGTTGTGCATCGCAACGTGCACACAAACACACACATGAGCATGCAAACACAGATGGTCTGTAGACACCTTCATAATTCATAACTGCGTTAAAAACTTTCTGGTTCAGTGAACACAAGAACAGAAGGAGCCAGAGACACACTTTCTTTATTTTAATTAGACACTACAATAAGAAAAATCTTCTACATCCTCGATAAAATTGAAGCCATAATTTTGAGCTGAAATATATAAAATCAAATGTCTGTTTATTCAAGTGCTTGGTGTGGTGTGCTTGGTGTAAACTGGATCTATCCCAATTACTCAAGTACATTTAATGTGACCAGATTCCTGTCATGGCGGAGTATGCCAGGGACGTTTATTAATGCACCCAAAAGCAGACGCTGGAGCGAGGGACTGCATTTTTAAACCAAAAGCGAGCCTTTATTAAGGCTGGTAAACATGTAGGAGCGACAACTAAACAGAAACCTAAACTGGGAAAAACTAAAAAACTGTGACAAGACTGTAGAATGAAACGACTACGATGCGACGTAGAAGGAAAACAGATGACCTGACAATGAACAACGGAAGACAGGGGACTTAAATAATTTCCCCCAGGGATCAATAAAGTATTCTGATTCTGATTCTGATTCTGATAAATACACACAGGAGGTGATCAGGAAACAGCTGACTAGAATTAGCACAATGACGTCACAGGGGAAGTCAAACTAAACACAGTGACACACAACACTCTTTCAAAATAAACCAGGAAACACTGAGAAAATAACAATAATCAAAGAATAAAACTAAAACATGCAAAACACTGGGTCGCAGTCACTATCGTGACAATTTCATTAAATTAAACAATTTACACTTTAGGTATCCCATAAAATTACGTGGAAAACTTTAATTTTTTAAATGTATTTAAAGCAAAGTGATATTAACTGGTTACCTGCAGCATCACTATCATCTTAATAGCCATTCTTTGTATTGCATGTAGATCAAAGTGGTAAAGAATGTGATGATCGCACTAAATGTCTGAAACGGTTCATAACTTGTATTTCAATTTTTCTTTTCAGGGCTTCTTTGTGTCAATTATCTATTGCTACTGCAATGGAGAGGTGAGTAGGCAGTGATTTATTCACACTTGATAGAAGTGCTTTGACAGTATAACTAGAGAGCATGGCTGCTGTGCCTGTCAACATGTTGTTGATGCTTCAGATATACTCAGTTTTTACTACGTCATTGTATAATTACATGGGAACTCAGTACTAATGGGTCTGACTTGAAGTTTTTATTTCGATCACAACAACACAGCTGCAGAGTTGTGTGTCTGCGTCTTTCACAACACACTGTTGTGTCCACACACAGAGTGTCAGGTTTTTGTACGCCTGTCTAAGTCCTCAAAGCTGCCTTTGTTGTAGTTCTTCCCACAGCTGGTGTTGGGATCACTTTTTGCCGTGATGACACACTAAGAGACACGCAAACAGACTGACAACATGAAAACAATTCCAGCCGCGCTGATGCAGCTGCTGATATCTCCTACAAAGGGTTTAATTACTCCGGTGGTACATGTAATCTGTGGTCAGGCTGATGAAGCGTGTTTTTCTCCCTTCATCTGTGCTGCCATATTATCTGACTCTTTATTATCTCATTCTGCACGGAGAGTGCTGAGCGCTGAATTAAAGTTTCCATTTCTGACACTCTGATCTTTACACAAAACTTCTCTCTTTTTTTTATGCTGTCGTTCACTTTCCCTTCGTGATCCTCATTATCCTGCGGAGCTCTCCTTTTTATTCTCCGGAGCCTTTCAGAGTCACCGAAAACCAAACAACGCCAAATTAAACTGAAGGTTTTTGTATTCTGTTGAATAAAAGCGCCATAAAGCAATTTGTTATTTTGTTATTAACACTGAGCCAAATGACTCATGTAAGGTAAAAGGGTCTCAGCCAACACTTGGAATTAACACCCTACTCTGCTGCTCCGTGGAGCTTTAAGCTGCTCCTAATGCTCTGTTTTAGTCATTCAGCCCACGCGCTGCGTGCACAGTTGAATCTTTTTCATCCACTTGCATATAGGAAAGTGTAGGCTGCCGTGTCCAGCAAACAATCTCAAATGTTTGATACCATAAAACAGTAAATTCACATGTAGGAAGGCAGAGATCTGCATACACGCTCTGGTCATCAGATTTATAAACTCACGTGTACGCCGGGTCCTCTTTTTGAAGTTTTAAGTCATCATGAAATTTTATACATGTGCTCGGGCTTCATTTCCACTACGATTCTCAGCCATGCCCGGGTGCAGACACTCACCTGTTTCATCACTTCTGTATTTGGTGCATAGCATTCGTACTACAACTTATTAGACATGGCGATTAGGAATGCATCAAGGAAGAAGTTTATTTTCCTCGTAATTAGGATTGGAGAATTTGTTTTGTTTGTTATAGGGCAAACCCCCCCCAAAAACAAAGCGAGTCAGTTTTGTTTTGTATGTAATTGATGCACAATTATTATTATTTTCATTGACATGGCTAAAGTGCGTGTGTAGCATTCATTAAACCTTATTCAGGAGCATTGTTCATGTATTCAAAGGCTTAAAGCTCATTACTGCATGCACATAAATGTCATGATGAAATATTGTCATATTTAGAATCAACATATATCATTCCCTGTATACTGATATCACTTTGATCTTTAGATGGTCTATTGGCCTTGAAGGAAAGGTCAAGGGTCAAATATGACACGACATTTTAAAACTTCTTACAGTGCTTTTTATATGTTGACAATACACACCACACGTGTCTACACCCTCACAAAGTTTTATCAGAATTCGTTCAAATGTTATCATTACAGACAGAAAACATGTCTGCCAGTGCTCGCAAAAACATAACTTCCTTATCAGAGATAAAAATATTGTTGTCTTTTCAGGCTTTGCTTTCTTTACAAAGTGTGTCCCTGTGCCAACTGTGCGAGGGTCACACAGTTTTACTGGACATCAATCCTTTCAAAATACCTTCATGAGTGGGAAAAGTCGGTTTCTGTGTTTGCAAATGGTGTATATAGGAGGAAGTGACACAATTAAATGATTAAATTAGCTGCTTGTTCAGGTTAGGGTTGCACAGATTATCCCAGCTGGCGCTGAGCGAGATGCCTCTTGCCTCCTCAACAGTTTGCTTGACGGTCACAGAGAGGCAGCTTGCCACATTGACACTCACACCTGCACCTTATTTGCAATCACCAGTTAAACTAAAGCGCATGTCTTTGCAGGACTACCTGCAGAAAACTGTGGTAAAATATGTAATTTCCACACAGGGATGTAAGCAACAACTAGAAAAAATTGCATTTCCTGCGAAAATGCTGTGTGGATGCCTTACGCTGAAGATTTCTGCTGAAAAAAGCAGAAAAAGTTGAAAAAACAAAAAACATTGCCCTGAGCGAGATTCGAACCTGGCCTTTCTGATCTATAGGCGGCGTCTCACCTTACTGGACCAAACTGATTCTTACAAAGAAGAGGTGGAGAGACTGACAATTCTGGTGAAATTAGCAGAAGCTGCTTAGTATTGTGCTAATAAGAGGTGAAAAGGCTAAACATTTAGCAGAAAAGAGGTGAATCAGAAGAAGTTCTGCTGAAAAGAGGTAAAGAAGCAAAAAGATGAGTTGAAAAGAGGTGTAGAAGTGCTTGCTGAAGATGGCTGTATGTGTAATGACACACTGGAGAGTGTCAAGAAAGCAGAGCGCATGCAAGCAGGGAACATGTGTAGCAACTGTCACAGGTAGGATTCGAAACTCTGCCCCCGGGTCTCACGGCAGCTGCCCTACCCTCTGAGCCAAATGAGTTCTGGTCTCAAGCAAATATATGATGAGAGAGAAAATGTGCACTGTGGAGCAGAAGCTCAAATTAGCAGAAAAGAGGTGAAGAGGAAGAACTTTGTTGTGAAATGAGGTAAAGAAACTGAAATTTGTGCTTAAAACAAGTGAAAAAGCTGAACTCTGAAATCCTGCTAAAACAGTAGTAGAGGCTGATATTTTTCAGCTACTCACTGAGCCAAACTGGTTCTCACGTAACTGAAAAAAGGTGGAAAAGCTTAAAATTCTAATGAAAACAGCAGAAGAGGCTAAGTGCACTGTGGAGCAGGAGCTCTAATTAGCAGAAAAGAGGTGAAGAGGAATAATTTCTGCTGAAAAGAGGTAAAGAAGCAAAAAGCCGAGTTGAAAAGAAGTGTAGAAGCAGAAGTGCTTGCTGAAGATGGCTGTATGTGTAATGACACACTGGAGAGTGTCAAGAAAGCAGAGCGCATGCAAGCAGTGAACATGTGTAGCAGCTGTCACAGGTAGGATTCGAACCTCTGCCACCGGGTCTCACGACAGATGCCCTACCCTCTGAGCCAAATGAGTTCTGGTCACAAGCAAAGATATGATGAGAGGGAAAATGTGCACTGTGGAGCAGCAGCTCAAATTAGCAGAAAAGAGGTGAAGAGGAAGAACTTTGTTGTGAAATGAGGTAAAGAAACTGAAATTTGTGTTTAAAACAAGTGAAAAAGCTGAACTCTGAAATCCTGCTAAAACAGCAGAAGAGGCTGATATTTTTCAGCTACTCATTGAGCCAAACTGGTTCTCACGTAACTGAAAAAAGGTGGAAAAGCTTAAAATTCTAATGAAAACAGCAGAAGAGGCTGAGTGCACTGTGGAACAGAAGCTCAAATTAGCAGAAAAGAGGTGAAAACAGCAGAAGAGGGTGAGATTTGTGCTGATAAGAGGTGAAACTGCGGAACCAATCAGAGGTACTGCTTCTGTCTGCTTCATCAGGCTGTGTACTTGTATGTATTTCTGCCATAGACTGTTAACCAGAATCTGAGGTCCATATTAGAAAAGCTGCTAAAATCATTAAACTTTGCAGAATTGTAATAAATTATCAATATGAATTACCGGTCTGTGATAGTGTATAAATTTGTAGTTAAAAAAAAACATGTGGGCCAAGGTGGAATCGAACCCACGACCTCTGGTCTGAAGAGCGGTGTCATTACCAATCGCGCCACCTCTAAGGGGGCGGGCGCTTTGAAAAAAAGGGTGATGAGGAGTCAGAATTAGATCGCGGTGAGACGCGAAAAACGCCGTTTTTTGGAGTTACAAAACGTCGTGTAACTCAAAAACTAGGTGGGATAGAAGCATAATTCTTGCACTGGGTGAATCAGCGGACTTTGGTGTACTTTGACTGCGATTTACATAGCTCTTTGTATCTCCGTCGCGGAGATATGACGAGAGAAGAAACGGCTTCATTTTCGGAATTTGAAAAATGAGAGGAGGACAGATTTCCACCCCTCAAACAAGTCTAACTCATCTCAGAACGGTAATAGGTGAGAAAATAATTCTTGAATTGTGAGTGTCAGGAGTGTCTGAAGATATACAGGGACAAGCCTCATGTCTTAACTTTGCTTCGTTAAGGAGATATGACGATTTGAAAATGCCTTCAGTTTCAGTATTTCAGCTCTGAGTTTCACAACCTCCCATAGACTTTGAATGGGGAGTTTTTAGACCATGTGTCACTTCGAGGCAAATTGTGAAAAAAACGTAACTCTCACAATAATTATAGTGACACTGTCTTAAAGCCAGCAAAATACCTACGTTTTGATGTATAATTTGTGGAAGTTGAGTGGAAATTGAGCGAGTAGCAAGGAGTTGTTCAGACATGAAGAGAAAATTCAGAACGGACGAGTGTGCAGTGGGAGTTAATTGCATAGCAACCATAGCAACACATGTATTTTCTGAAAAATCACAAAGTTGTAACTGAAAACTTAAAGAGTCATTACATGAAAACGGTAACAGATATGAAAAAGCTGAATCACACAGGAATAGCCAATCATCTGAGAACGTTTTAAAGTTTGAATGGAGTTTCTAGGTGAAAGTATGAGGAAGTAGTTAAGTTTCAAAGACAAGCAAGTTTTAGCAGAATTGTAGAAGTTCCCATTCATTTCAATGGACAAATTAAAGGAAAAAAGTGTAATATTTAAAAAGTATAATAGTAATAATACCAAAAGATATAGCAGTCGAAAGCAGAAATAGCAGAACAGTTAGAGTTTGAATGGTAAAAATCGGCTGAAAACTGAGGGAGTAGTTAAGCGGCAAAGAAACGGAGCAACTAGAATAATAAAGGATAAAGAATAAAGAGAAACAGGATCTCAATAGTGTGGATGCCTACGGCATCCACCCAATAAGATCTGAAGCGAGGATGTGCATGCAGTCTGGCTGCTCTGATATTTTAAACAAAATGAAACAGGAACAAGGAACCACTGGTTAGAAAAGTATTCTGCACCTCAAAATATTTCTTCTGCACTCTGATCTTTGCAAAAAACAACTCAGCTTTGTGTATTTACTGGCTTTTTTCCCCACACCCCCACAGGTTCAGACAGAGATAAAGAAAACATGGACACGGTGGAATCTTTCCTTTGAGTGGGAGGGTCCAGTTGTGTGCGGCCGCTACCGTTATGGATCTGTGGTCGTAGGTCTGAACAACAACAGCACCAGCAGCCAGTCCCACCTGGCTGGTGCTGGGCCGTCCACACGCTCCACCACGCTCGTTTCCAGCCGCGTTTACCGGAGCACAGGTCCAACCGCGATCAGCATGCGTGCCACCCTGCCAGGATACGTAATCAGTAACTCGGATCCATCCATACCCGAGGAGCCTGAGGACAGTGGTCCCAAGCGGGTGGATGATATCTCACTGAGGGAAAATCTGCCTGTTCTAAATATGAGCGGAACGGCTGATGATGAGGAGGAAACGCTGTAGCAGACATCAGACCGTTTACTCCTGTGTTATTCAAACTCTGAAGAGGGATGCAAAGACAAACCAAAAGTGTCACTCTGCAGACAAGAAGAGGAAAAAATGTCCCGGACATTCATAAGAAGAAGAACTAACGTGAACCTTTTATACAGTACTGTAAATTGTGAAGAAATGTTAACTGTTGTCATTGCTATACTGTTTTTGCTGCCAACGATCACCAAAATGCTGACTTTTAAACTTCTACACACAGAGCCTTTAACAGCGCACACAGGTCACGGTGAAAAATGAACACTGAGCCAGAGTCACAGCCCCACACATCACAGTACAGCCGGCACTTTCAGCAAAAGCTGTTGATGGCAGACTGTTTACTTACGAACATCATTTGTTGGAGCGTAAGCAGGCTGGCTGATAAGTGCTACAAGTTGGCAACACTGCTGCTACTCCAGACCCTTTATCTGACAGTGGCTTATTACCTTCAGACATTTCCAAATGACAGGAGGTGAAAAGCTTTTGAGCACCTAGTTTAAAAAAGGACTAAAATAATTAAGTAAAAAATAAAACAAGTTTTTTCCTCAGGGAGGGCAACACCACAGTGCCCTCTATTGCATCACAGCCACTGGAGGTTAGCTTGGAAACACACTGTAGCATGTTTAACAGCGGTCGTCTGACGTTATGGAAATTTCAGCATCTTTTCCAGCCATCACCTTGATTGTACAGTATATCACATGAGTGCCACATCCAAGCTAGACTCGCACAGCAACGCAAAAATAGACGTTACGGATTGGATGGTGAGGTGAAAACACAGCATGAGCAGCATGATAGCTAACGAGGGATAAAAACCCATAATCTCAAAGCAAACTGAGCACTGGTGAATCTTGGTTCTAGCAGACATGTTCTCTCAATTTGATCATACAGTAGATGTTTTCTTTAAATAGCTACAAGCTTCATCGAACAGACAATGGGCTCTATTTTCCTGCAAGTGTAAAAACAGCAGCTGCAGAAATGCGTGACGTCACAGACATGCACACCTGCCAGCTAAAGCTATAACTATGCTTGGAATCACTTGTCTGAGTTCAGCATTAGTCTTTTCTCTACCTCAAACTGACGCATGTTTAAAAAGAATGTATATAACTAAATACAGCGTTTTTGTCATCTCTGGCATAATTTCATTTTTGTTTGTTTTTTTGAGAAAAATATTTTACCCTACTTGGGTTTAGAGCTTGGGTTTGTTGCTATATCAACACATTTTTAAAAGCTTGAATACTAATTTGCATATATGAGTTTTTTGGGGGCAACAACACACTGATGATGTAGAAGTCTCAAAAACTGTATGTTTCAAGTATCATACACGTCAGCTTGTATGCATCTTATACATGACCTTGAATCGTTTTTTCTTTCATCTACCTCATGCTGATGTGTCAAAATACAGTAAGTTTGACTGAGCTTTTTACCAACTCACATCTCCGCCACAGTTTTAGCTGTGAGGTGTCCATGGACAGTGTAACAGGTGGAAGGACAAAGCTGCTATGGCATCGCTCACTGGTTTGTGAAGTCTTGTTATCCGGTGTTTTCACCATCTTGTTGTTTTGAAACACGATGTGATGTGATGAAGGAGTTGATCTGCCTGGCTGCACGCTCATCGGCTCGTTCTTAGCCAATCCCTGGCTAATCCTTAAACCACCAAAATTTACAAAATCAGCGTCACTTTTTACCCACTGTGAATGTGAGTGACAGAGTCGATTAGCTCATGAGGAAACATTAACAGAACTCAGGGCCTACTTCCATTTTTCTTACATTTATGTAGATAAGATTAATCTTTATTGTCATTGTACAGATAGTAAACAATGAAATTTCAGAGCACTACATTTGAAGGTGCATAAAGACAAGATGAAAACAGACATCATGAAAAGAGGAAGGAGGAAACATGTTACTACAATCACTCACAAACCAGCTTTTACACCTGAGATGTAAGCTCAGTGTTGGCAGCGTTAAGTTTAAGTGTATTTAAAGTCTTTACCGCCCATGGAAAGAAGCTCTTTCCTAATGTTGTTCTGCTTTTAATGTTCCTCCTTCCAGAGGGCAGTTGGCTGAACAAGTGGTGCCCAGGATGATTCTCTTTGCTCTGGAGGGACATCAAGAGCTTTGAGTCTCATCCAAAGAGGTTAAAGGACATCCTATGGTCTTTTCAGCTGACCTCATCACCTCTGCAGTTTTCCCTGTCAGCTACTGTACAGCCAGCGTGCCGCACAGTAACAGCAGTGTCAGAGCGCTCCCAGCTGTAGAGCAGTGGTCACCAGCAGTCTGTCCTGCAGACGGTACAGAAATCTGCTTGCAGCCAAATGTAGTTGGTCTTGAAAGGACTGGACAGACTGATCATGTGAGTGCAAAGTTGTATAAAAGCATAAATAGTGAAAAAAAAGTCTTGCTGACTTTGGCCAAAGTAAGATTCAAATCGGGATTGGGAAGTGATCCGGGTTTTGTCCCGGTGGCCAGGAAAAGAAGAATGTGAAGTTATGGCTCTGTCCATATTCATTTAGATAGGGGATTAAAAATAACTGCCCACACGTGTGTTGGCCCTGTGGCTGCTGAGTGGAAAGACTTGGACAGTCTGTGAAATGCAGTATACTTTCTGTGTAATTTCTTACATACCTGTAGCCATCAAATTCAGCAGGAATGATGAATGAGTCCAAATCTGAGCAGACAAACTCTGAATTATGTCAGGATGATTATTACAGCTATTTTTCATTTTGCCACTTCCAATTATCTTTATAAATACTTGCAGTTGTAGCTCATGTGCATTCAAGTAGAGGCATATAATGAGCAGCGACACAACGATCTATCCAGTGTTCCCTGAACAAATGATACGTGCTGTTAAAACATATTTTTTAAACAATTTCACACATGAGAAGGCAGCACACGATAAAAAGTACACTCTATTGGTGAATTATGGACATGTGCTTTTCACTCAGAAGCCTCTTAGAGGATGGAAGATGACTCGTAACTTAAATCCTGCTTACTTTACTTACAGCTGACAGAAAAGGATCCTGGGACTCGGCGACACCTGGAAAATGAGAGGCTGAATGCCTCATGCTAATAATATACTCAGCCTTTTCTCCTCATTGCATTAGACCAGGGGTAGGCAACCTTTCTGATGACGAGTGCCATATGATTGCATTAGCAATAAATGTAATAACGCTCTATATGAACAGTTACACACTATATAGAACCACTTTATAGAATTATATTTGCTCGCAGATGTTGGCAGCTGTCAGCGAATAGCGAAAAAAAAGACACTTTTTATCCATAACAAGAACTCCATGACAGCAAATGAACTGTACAACAGAAAATACAACTGCTATTTATGGTCTCCTCACAACAATGATAAGAAAAATAAACTGGGCCAATATGGCATGTTTGTTATTATTCAACCCAACCCTTCAACTCATTCATGTCACCTAAAAGGTAAACCTGTTTCTCCATCACAGCTCTGATGATTCAGTAAGGACATCTCCTGGTTTCATCTTCATGTTTCCCTCTCACCACATATCCAAACCGACATCATGACCAGCAGCTTTACAGCTGTGGCTCCAGCAAACATCAGCTAACATCAGCAAACATCATAGAAAGAAATATTAAATAAATTCTAACAACAGCTGATCAAGCTTAAACGTGCTGCTCTTGTTTAGCGCGACATCCGCTGGTTTCCTCTTTCTGGCACAAAATGGGCGATAAACAAACAACAGAGAAAAGCCGATCAGCTGATCATTGATCAGTTTCATGATTGAAGTAGAAACAGGAGAGAGAGGGGAGAGAATGAGAGAAGAAGAGGCAGCTGTGCAGTGTAACAGAATAAATCCACTTTTGTGTCTTTTTCCATTCTAGCTGAAGTCCGGGGCAAACTGCGTCTCTTCTCAGCTCAACACCAAATGCGTAATATTTTTTCTGAATGCGGGATGATTCTGCCCTTTTACAGGATGGTTGGCAACTCTATTTTATTCATAAGGTTAGTTAGTAAAGTTCACTATCAGCAACATCAAAGCACCCACCCAGCTGTATAGAAACTCCGTCATGCTAGAGTAGCAGTACGAGTTATTGTAACTGACTGTAAAAAGTCAGCACAACGAAAATAAACTCCACCTAAACTTGGTTTATATCTGACCCAGATAGACTGCAGGTCATAACTTCTTACCTGATGTTCAGTTCACCTGACACTCGGACCAGCGGCCGCCTCGGGTCTCTCCTCCTGCCTCCCCTTTCTCTCATCCACCTGCTGGCCTCCACCACTTGCTAATGTTACCGAATCTGTGGAAGCACCGCCACAGCCACCACCAAACAACTGAGTTATTTTTACACACCGACCAGCATCTGGCCAATCCACCACCTTCCATTGTTTATACCGTTACAAAGAAAAAATCATCGGACCACCGACCAAATCCCCGATGGCCAGTCCAGCTATGGTCGTGCCATCACTTAACCCTTCACGTGCCAACTGTGGCACGCGTGCCTAGGGTTGCCGACCCCTGCATTAGACTGTACCTCGCTGTGCTTGGCTAGTGAATGTCGTCTCAAAACTGCAAACATTTGCTCATCACGCTGTCATGTTTGCACAAAGAGATTTTGCTTCCATTTGCATTCTCACTGTGTTTCAGGACAATAGAGCCCAATGTCACCATTCACAGGAGTTTCTAACCTGCTGTTGGCTCATTTCTACTTCCAGAAGATGACATCGTATAAGAGGAGGATGAATTGTGATGTGCACGAGCTGCTCATTGGTGAATTGCTATAATGTGTGCTCTTGTGCAGTCTGCCCCCTTATAAAAAAAGAAAAGTGATGTATTTTGTGAAAACAAACTTACCGTTGAGCGAAACTGAATGTATTCAGAATTATTTTTGTGTCTTTAAACTTAAGTTGAACTCAGATTTTCACTATTGATTATACATGCATAGAACATTTCTGTGCATATGTTTACCATTTGTAAAAACAAAGCCAGTAGCACAGACAGATTTTTAGGGCAAATCAGAAATTGATGCAACATTAAAAACTTATATTTTTTTGGAAAATCAACCAATGTCCTAAATTTGGTGGCAGCTTAACTGTTTTGTGTCTTCTTTGTGCATGCATTGCATGTTTGTCAGCATTAGATGCAGTCACTGGACACAAAAACTAGAGTATTTATTGTGCTTGTGCCTCCCCTGCTCTTGCAGAAGGTCTTAAAGATTTACTTGAAAGGATTCTTTTAATTCTTGTCTGTACATGTGCTTAATGTATTTGACTGTTTTCCTCTGTGATTTTTTGGGTCTCCCTGCTCTTCTGCTCTACTTCAAACCCAACTCCCTTCTCTCTGTTAACTGCTAATAAATGCTCAATGTTTTCAGCAGCAACATCTTTATGTTCTTGGTATTCCTGCAGTCTTACACATGCACATCACAAACGTTTTGTATGCTCGGTCATGTAGGAGTGCTGATATTAGCGTGTTAGCAAATTGTCAAACAGGATTGTTTTGGTTTAGTTGGTGTTAGCGTGTTGGTTTTAGCAAGAGATTAAGAGGTTATTGGAAGTCGTGACGCCATGCTGGAGAGCTTCAAAAGTCTTCAGTTGGACATTCAGGGTCAGGGTTGTCAAACTCATTTTTGCATCGTGGGCCACATACATGTTAAGTAGGCTGGACCGCAGAAATGAAAAAACAGGAACTTTTCTGTCATCTAGTAGTTTTTTCATTTCATTACTTTGTTGTACCATGAATAGCCATGCGGGAGGTAGAACTTTTCTACTGTCTGAGCATTCAAATCACTTTACTCAACTTGCCTTAAGATTTTCCAAA